ATATCATGTTTTTCTTATTATGTCCAAATGACTATATATAATATATATGTATGTATGTATATATATATATACATATATATATACATATATAATATATAATATATATAACTATATAAACCATATATAACTAAAATAAATTAATAAAAAATAATTAATAAATTAATAAAAATGAATAATAAAAATGAATTTTAAAATGATATTTCTGGTAAACATAAATGCAATTGATCAAGGGATTAATTAATCAAGAAGATATAATAATTATAAATTTATTTATGCCAAAGTTTGGAGCACCACATTTTGTAAATTATAAATGCTATCAAGACATTAAAAGAAAAAATAGGTCTCAATACAATAATAACGGGTGAATTCAATAACTTTCTATGAGCAATGGATAGATCATCCAAACAAAAATCAACAAAGTAACAAGAATTAATTATACTATAAATAAAATGGACTTAACAGACATTTACAGAATATATCACTCAATGGCTAGAGAATACATATTCTTTTCATAGGAACACAGAAATTTTTCTAGAATAGGCCATATATTAAGGGACAAAGCAAGTTTTAACAACCTCCAAAAATATTGAAAAATATCCTGTGTTTTCTCTGATCACAATGAAATTAAAGTAGAAATCAAGAGCAACAGTAACTGTAGAAATTATACAAAAACATATTAAAATTGTACAACACACTTTTGAACAATGGGTCACTGAGGAAGTCAGAAGGGAAATTTAAAAATTCTTTGAATGAACTGACAATGGAAACACAACATACAAATATCTGTGGGATACAATATAAGCAGCTGCACCATATAAGCAGCTGCACCAAGTGGAAAGTTTATGACAATGAGTGTTTACATAAAAAAAAATATTTTGAGTACATAACCAAATGATGACTCTCAAAGTTTTTTGAAAAATAAGAAAAACAAAACCCCCATATCAGTAGAAGAAAAAAATTATAAAAATCAGAGCACAAATAAATGAAATGGAGACTAAGAGAACAATAAAAATGAAACTGAGTTAAATCTTTGAAAAGATAAAATTTATAAACTTTTAGCTAAACAAACAAAAAGAAAGAAAAAAATAGCCAAATAAATAAAATTAGAGGTGAAAAAATGAGACATTACTATGGATATCACTGAAATTCAAAGGATCAACAAGGAATATTTTGAAAAACTATATAGTAATAAATTGTAAAATAAAAAATATAGACAAATTTCTGGACATACATAACCCACTAAAATTGAGTGAAAAGAATATTTTAAAAGGCTAAATAAATAGACCACTAACAAGTAATGAGATAGAATCAGTAATAAAAAGTCCCCCAAACAAGATTGAATTTCTTCTTTGCTGAATATTACCAAACTTTTAAATAAAGAACAAATATCAATGCCCCTCAAACTACTACATTAAATAGGAAGGTAAGAAACCAAATTCAATGTTATAAAAGTATGACTCAAACCTGACAAGGCCAACAAAAGAAAGGAAGAAAGGAAGGGAAAGGAATTTTTTTTTTAAAAGGAATTAATTGTAAAATGATATTTCTAATAAACATAAATACAAAAATCATCAACAAAATATTTGTAAGTTGAATTCATAGCACATTAAAAAGACCATACACCATGATCAATTGTTTTCTATTCCAGGGCTACAAGGATGGTTTAATGCAAATCAATAAACTTAATGCAGCACATGAATTGAATTAATGATATATATCACCTCATTTTCCCAATAGATACAGAAAAAGCATTTGATAAAATTCAACATTTCTTCATGATAAAAGTCCTGAATGAATTAGCTATAGAAGGAAAATACCTCTGCATAATAAATGCTATGCATGATCATACTCAACAGGAAAAAACTGAAACCATTTCCACTAAAACCAGGAATGAGATAATGGTGTCCATTTTCAGCACTCTTATTCAATAGAGTACTAGAAATTTTAGCCAAAATAATCACTTAAAAGAAAGAAAAGAAGGCATACATACAGAGGAAGTTAAATTATCCCTGTTTGAGATAATGTGACTTTATATTAGGTTTTAGGAAAACCTAAATACTCTACACCAATACTCTCAGAAATGAGAAACAAATTGGTAAACTATCAGGATACAATAGCAACATACACAACCAATATCTTGCCTATATACCAATAATGAACTCACTGAGAAAGAAATCAGGAAAGCAATCATATTCAAAATAACCACAAATAAATAAATAAGCCAGGCATAGTGGTGCACACCTATAATCCTAGTGATTCATAAGGCTAACATTATCTATTATTAACATTATCTAACTGGAGGCTAGTCTCAGCAACGTAGTAAGACCTGGTCTCAAAATAAAAAATAAAAAGTGCTAATGGTGTAGCTCAATACTAGAGTACTCCTGGGGGTTCAATCTCTGCAAAATACACACACATATACACACACACACACTTCAGAATAAACCTGAGGATGTGAAAGACCTCTACAATGAAAATTTTTAAAATACTGAAGAAATGGAAGAAGATATTAAAAGACTGAAAACCTCCCATGTTCATGGGTTGAGAGAATTAATACTGTTAAAACATCCACACTACCCAAAGTGCTCTACAGATTCAATGCAATCCCTATCAAAATTCCAAAGGCATTTTTTGCAGAACTAGAAAAACACAATCATAAGTTCATACAGAAGTAGAAATAAATGAATAGCCAAAGTAATCTTTAGCAAAAATTGCAATGCTGGAAGTATCACAACACCTGATTTCACAATCCACAGTAACAAAAACAACATGATACTGGCACAAAAAGCAGATACATGGACCAATGGAACTCAGTAGAGAACTCAGAAATAAACTCACATATCAACAACCAACTAACTTAATCTTGACAAAGCTACTAAAAACATATAATAGAAAAAAGATCTCCAACCAATGGTATGGGGAAAACTGATACCCACATATAGAAGATTGAAAATTGACCTATGGGGTCAATCTCTCACCCTGTACAAAGATCAGTCAAAATGGATCAAAGGTAGTTCTGTAAGATCTGAGTTCTGAAACTTCTAGAGGAACATACTAGGGAATAAATTTCTAGATACTGGTTCAGGCTATTGTTTCCTGGCTAGAACTCCAAAAGCACAGTAAACAAAGGCAAAGGATGACAAATGGTATTACATCAAATTTTAAAACTACTGTATAGCAAAGGAAATAATCCACAGATTGAAGAGACAACCTACAGAATATGAGTAAATATTTGCCAGCTCTTTGTCTGGCAGAAGATTAATATCTATAATATATTAAGAACTGAAAATACTTAATATCAAAATCAAAAAAACAAGACAATCTCAAATGATATAGACACATCTCAAAAGAAGAGATACCAATGACAAATACATGAAAGGATGACTCAATATCTTTAGCCATCAGGGAAATGCAAATGGAACTACAATGAGATTCTATCTTACCCCAGTTAAAATGATTATTATATAAAAAAGTAACAAATAACAAATACTGGCCAGGATGTGAGGAAAAAGAATGCTTATACACACTGTTGGGATTGTAATTCATTACAGCCATTGCTAAAAACATATGAAGGTTTCTCAAAAAACTAAAAACAGAGCTACCATATATGATCCAGCTATTCCATTTCTGGATAGATATCCAAAGAAAAATGAAATCAGCACAAACAAAAATTCCCGAACAACCATGTTTATTATAGCACCATTCACAACAGCACCTAGGAATTACTCCATCATATGAAGAATGATATCTGGACATTTAAGTGGAAGAGGAAAAATAGCATGTTAAGCAAAAGAAGCCAGACACTGAAAGACAATTATTGCATGTTTTCTTTCATACACAGAAACAAATAAACAAAAAGTCCTAAAAGCAGAAGAGGTACTACAAGGTACTGGGAAGAGGGCTAAGGAAGTTGGGAAAGATGGTAAAATAGGAGTATAGGGAGGATAGAGGAACCTCGATGGGGTTCAATCAATGGGTACAATCGATGGGTGATATATGCATGTAAGGAAATATTATGACAGTAAATCCTATCAATTTGCACAACTAGTATGTATTAATTATAATAAAGAGTAGTGAGTTTTTTGGGTGTTTTAGCTTTCTTTTTGTATTTTTTATTGCTTACAGTTTTCAAATGCTGATATATCTTTTTCAGAAAAACAGCAAGGTTGTTTTTCAAAGGTAAGTAAGGAAAGAGATCATTAAATAGGATAAAACAAAAACAGAAACAAAGAGAAGAGCAAATGTAGAACACACAGGACCACAGAATATTTTAGCCTACCTTTTGGACCTGCGGTTGACTTCCTTCAAATTGTGTGAATGACCTTCTGATGAAAATAAGAGGATATTTTGATATTTTGTTATTCAACCAGACCTTTGCACATTCAAGAATGTGGTCACCATTGGCAAGACTATCCCCATTGAGGTTGCAAACAGAGAGCACAAGTAAAATTTCTCCTCAAATTGTGGTTTGCTAAAGAGCAAAATTGGCATCATCTGGGTACTTGTTAGATGTGAAAAATCTCAGGTCCCATCCCAGAAATGAGGACTCAATCAGAATCTGCATTTTAACAAGATCCCCTGGGGCATCTATGAATACTTTAAAGCTACAGAAGCACTGCTTTAAAAGTTCTAACAGGCTCAATTTTCAACAAGGGTATTGGACAACAGTTTTACTTAAAGCTAGAGTGATTAAAACTTCACTGGGTTTGTAGAAAGAGAAATATGTCTAGTATTGGTTTTGATTTTTCTGAATACACAGAGATCCTTATGCCACAATTTGGCTGTGCACTTGGTTTGCTAGGGGACCATCTCTGTTGTGACTGGGCAGCAATGCATTTTAGAACTTTTTCAGGGTGTTAGCAAGATGTATCCAAAGTTGATAGCTGAAGAAAGAAAGGAAAGACCTGTTTTGCTTGCTTCTTTTTAAGAATAAGGTGAAGAATGTAACAGAGGACAAAGTTAACATTATCTAGAGTGAAGAAAAAAAAAAAAAGCATTACCTGCATGATTTCTCAGCACATCTAATTCTTTTTCCAAACTCTCTAAAGTTTGTTGATCAGCTGTGTTATCTAAGAAAGGTTCATTCTGGCCAGTAATATCAATATATTCAATTTCTAAAATTTCCGAAGCAGCTCTAGATAATGATCGAACAGCTGCACTTCTTGGTCGAGGCTGAGAGGATGAAAGGCAGTTGGAGCTGTTTTTAACAGAGTTGGAAAGTGGTAAATTTGCTGTTGAAGGTCTCTGTGACTTCTGGCCTAAAACAAAAAGAAAAAGAATCCAATCAACTGTTTTTAAAATTTTGAGTATTTTGCAATATAAAATACCAGCTTCCTGAAGACAGAGCAGTGAATATAATGCAACAAATTTTATGAGAAAATCAGGCTCAGGATATAGCTCAATGGTAGAACACATACCTGGCATGAGGCAAGACCCTGGGCTCAAACCCAAGACCAAAACAAAATGAACAAACAAAAAATGGATTTCAAATATTATGCGAAAACTGACTGTTGATTTTCATCCCCTGTCACAAAGACCAAAAAAAAAAAAAAAAAAACCTTCTGAGTATTTTCCCTATTTTTTAATATTTAGAAGCAAATTGATTTCACTATCACTAAAGCAAAATATCTATAAAACAAGTCAACTTCAGACCAGCACAACACACAATCTTTTAGTCCATCCCAAATTCAAGTATGTATCTCACAAGAGAAAACAACCTCTACGATGAACATGAGGCCACTTCCTAGTGAATCAATTGTATTGACAGTGTGTAATCTATTCTTTTATTTAAAAATATGGAGATTAAACAGTCTAATATACAAAATCTGTGTGAAATTTTAGAAAAACACAGTTTTTAAACTAAGTGAGATCACATCTATAATTTTCCTATAAGAAGTCTGATCTGTTTGCTGTGTACTAAGTCTGACCTGTATCTCCGATGTGCTTTTTTCTCTGTATTCTGACAGTTCACTTTCCATTGCCTTATAGGGTACTTTAGTTTACAAATTCCAGAAGCACAGACCTAAGTCAGGTTACTACTTTATTCAACTAAGATGACCACTCTTTTATCTGTTCAAAAGTTTGGTTTAGTTGGTTACTTCAACACTAAGCATTTTTTGTTGATGTCATTTTGCTTTTGTTTTTAATAGTAGGGAAAAGAATCCTTTCAAATCCTATGCAACATAACTAATTTGTAATTTTGTATTTCTCACAAAATACTCTTTAATAAAGGCCAAGGGAATTTTCAAGAACAGATTTAAAAAATTCACAGCATCGGTAAATTTTTAAATGTACTAAATTATTTTTCTGATTTAGAAATATATTCATAGTAAACATAAATACATTTATTTATTAACATATTTATGGTAATCATTTTGCATTCTCTTAACACAAACTGGCTTTGTGTAAAATATTAGATTTTTTAAAGAAGTGCAATTGTCATTCTCATGAAAAACATGATTTGACTGAACATATGCTATGTAACATTACGCCCACTCTTGTTGATTCAAAGAAAAATGCAAAATTCAAAAAAGTGGCTACATTCAGTCATCCTATATAAAACATTTAATGACTATTGAGTTCATCTTCTTTTTCCTTAGCTGGAAAAACTTACTTTGAATGTAGATAACCTTAAGAAGCATTTGGTTGCAGTATGTAATTGTTTAAGCAATTAAAGCTGAGTGAGGTTAAGTTCCAAAGGGCACCAATTTTAATGAACATTGAAGAAATTAATTTTTAAAATATTTTTTGTGGGAATAAAATTAGGAATAAATTAAAATAAGCTTCTGGCCCTTTTGTGTGTGTTTGTGCTCAGAAACAATTCTGAAGAAAAATAACTAATAAAAAATATGTTTAAAATATATGTATGTATATAAATATTCTAAAGAATTATTTTAATGACTTGAATTTAGAAGTGGTTTCCTCTTTTATGTGCTATATTGCAAAGAATGGATATTTCGTTCACAGCCATCATGCAAGCTTGTCGCTCTTATATGGAAGCCAGTGGGTACCAGAGGAAATTTATACAGAACTCAGAGGACCTGGGAGTATGGGTAAACCACACTCTTCTCCTGTATTATAATATTTCTCAGTCAAGGTAAAACTTGAAGAAATTTAGTACTCTTATTAAAATAAAACAAACAAAAAGATGATACTATTAGTAAGAACTGGACTTCTTCCATCTCAGAAAAATATGAAGTTAGAATAATTTAAAATAATGTAGATGCCCTTCAGAAAACTCAGGAGAGCACAACACTTGCTGAATTCTTACAACAACATCTGGTTGCCACAGTATTTGAAGCTAATTGTTCCCAAAAGAGAGAAAAGGTACACAGGGGATGGGTCAGACTTATGCTTAACACACAGCAAATAGACAGACCATATTTCTTACTGGAAATATGTTCAAGGGTAATTTAAAGTAACCAAATCACAGGATGAGATAGAAGGAGTCCCAATTTGGTTGTTGATTTTGTTTACTTATTGTTCATTTAGGAAAACATGTCATTCTTTCTAGTATTTAATTTGCAAGCTTATTAATATTATTGCTATGGTTAAGGATTGACACATTGACTGGCATTAATGAAAAATGCCACTGTTGAGGCAATCATTCCATAATAAAAAATAGCCTACTTTGTAGATTACAAACATAAGAAATTACTTTTAGAGAAACTTGTGCCATCATGGGCAATATAATCTAAAAAATGATTCATGCCAATCTCAGCTAACCACAAATAAAACAAAATTAATTTTTCTCGGTGTTAGCTAAAGAATATATGTCCCATGATTACCAATTAAACTATGCTGAATATTGATGAGATGAAATACAGTGGTATTAGTTAATGGGCATAAAAATACAGATAGATATAAAATAGGAATCACTCCTTGAATAGTATTTAATACGGCACTTTATTATTGCAATTCTAAATATAACATTAGAACTTGATAAAACACATATCAACAGGCTTTTGGGGTAGCATTTTAGTAACAAATAATTATATGTTACTAAATATGCTACCAAAATATGTTACTAAATATGTCAAAGGACACATTATTTTAAGCCTGAATAAAGTTGGCAAAACATTGTCCATTGACATTCTTGTTCCATTATGTAAACTGCTGAGCGTTCATACATTAAAAAACAAACAAACAAACAAACAGAAATTCAATTTCTAAGAGTTCTAGAAAATATAAGGAAATTTTATTGAGTAGTATTGGCTTAGTTGAAAAAAAATGCTAAGCTAAGGAGCTAAGAACATCATTGTCACATCTCACTGAATTAGAAATCAGCTTATGACCTAGACACAGATAGTAATCCATATCACACCTATAAAATTAAGGAATAAAACAGTATAATGTCTTAAATCTCCTTAAACTCTGAGAACTTGTGAATTAATGCTCAGCCTGAGTCAATTATAAAATCGTTAATTAATTCTTTGAGTTAATTAATTCAGGGTATTCAAAGTGAATGAGACATTACCCCTACCCTCAAATTTCATTCCAAATGAATACTCATGCTTTCTATCCTATTTCCCTCTTTCAGAAATACACACTGAAGACTTACAAGGTTCTAGCCCCCATTCTACATTGAAGGCACACTAACAAGAAGACTAGCTAGTCCTTGCTTTTTTTCTAAGCAAGGTGGGGATAGCAGAAAACCCTACAAATAAGATAATGTCTGTGATATGTTCTATGAGAAAGAATAGAAGGACTCAAGAGACTAGAGTTAAATAGCGTACTGAAAGCCCTATCTAAGGAGGTAAAATCGGGACTAAGACTGGTGAAAGAACCAGTCATATGAAGAAAGGTCCAAGGATGGAGTGAAAGGTTGCAGCAGAGCATCCTGGACAAGCATATTTTAGAATATACTAAGAAAGGCATGACCTACCTAAGAACAGAGAGGATCCACTTGGCTACAGGGTAGAAAATATGCAGTTAGGAGAGAAGGGTAACCAACTCATATATTGCTGTGTGATGCGTAGAATGAATATAATTTTTTTCTACCTTTCTTGGGAAGTTTTGGAATACTTTTAGGCAGGAAAATCATGTGATGCTATTTAAGTTTTAAATTTATTGAAAGTATGTTTCACTTCCTACAAACTATAAATATAAATAATTTTATGACTGTAAGGATAAACAATTTACTCACTGACTACAAACAGTAGAATTTGATGAGAAGAAATCATAGTAAGATGGTTTGGGAAGGGGTAAAAATGAAATTGGGAGACAAGTGAGAGATGACAGGCAACTGGCTTGGGCTTATCTTGAGCAGTGAAGATGGAAGTGTTTAGGTTTGTGCTGGCTTTTGGAGCTGAAATCAGCAGGATTTGCCTATGAATAAGCTGCAGCCACTCAAGGTGACTCCTAGGTTTCAGGCCTGATCAAGGTTTGGGTGCCCTTGCTATATACAGAGACAGGAAGATGGGGTGGAAGAGGAGTAACTTTTAGCAGGGGGTGCAGAGTATCAATGTACTTGTTGCTAATCACGTAAGTATTACAATGTATATATAGTCACAAATTTTAAAATCTTAGAAAAATTGGAATCCCTTTCTATGCTGGCATCAGTTCAGAATATAAGATTTCTATAACTTGCAATATTTCCGGAACATTTTATTTTATTTCAGGCTACTACCTCTGTCCAGAAAGGCATTTTGCAACTCCCCTCACTGATAAATGTTATTACTTTTTAAAGACTTAACTAAAATGTCACATACTCTCTAACATCTTGCATATCTATATTTTCAGTGACAGTCATTATTCATCATCTCTATTCCTAAATAAAATGCAAATATATATTATTACTGACAGTATGTGCTATCATTAATTACCTATCAATTTCAAAAAATTACATTATTCATACTTTTTATAAATTTATCACTTATGCATTTACATATTTATACAACTGTTTCTCAAAATATAAATTTTGAAGTATCTATATCAGCATTACAATTAATTGTTGATAAATTCAAATTTGAGGGCCTTACCTCAGCCTAAATGAATCAGAATCACTAAGAGTGAGATACAGAAATCAGCATTACATCTGTTTCCCAGTTGATTATGCTCACTTTGAGGTTGGAGAATCTCAGGCCATAGAGACAAGGGTATCACCAGGATTTTCATAGCAAATTATTGACACACACTGATCTGCCCAAATTGATACTTAAATACTTATAAATACTTAAAAGTATTTGGCTATTTATTAAAAATTTGTCTTAGTAACAAATTTTTCATAGCATGCATTATGAATTTATTTTTATCAATATAGTGACTTAAAACAGTTCCTTCTGATTGCCTCAGATAGAAGTTACCAGAATTTTTGAAGCTTCTCTGGAATTTGATGTGAGAATAGGTACCTAATTATAGAGCCAAAATTTTTTTTATCATAACTGGATGGTTTTTCTTCTAAAAAACATTTATAACTGACAGATTCTCAACATAAATGCATATTGAAGGAATCTCAGCTAGCCAAGAGATTTAATCATAGGGTTTCGGGCAAGAGAGCCATATAAATCTTACATAAGTGAACAAATCATATGTAATTAAATATCAGGTTTTAAGAGAGTCTTTAAACCAAGGCAATTAGCTCACTGTGTCAAGGATTCCTCCTCAATTGTAAGCTCCCTAAGGTCTATCAGGAGGACTTAGGTATCCCTTAATTCCCAGGACCTAGCATAGTGTTCACATACTCAACACCAGTGCATTGAATTGCCTTAATTCATGAGTTATCTACTGCAACTTTATGCCAAGTACAGAGTAAAGCAAACATACTTTAAGCATGTGTAAATGAATAACAGAAATGACATAATAATGCTAGTGATGCACACATTAGGAAAATATTACAATGATCATTCGATATGTCAAAATTATCTTATGTAAAAACCATGAAATCATTTTGAAATCAAAATCCCATGGATAACACATACAGCAATTATTAGAACCAAACAACTTGCAAAACCAGTTCTAAGGAATAATCTTAATCTAGGACATTTGTTTTACATATGGCTAAATCCAATCAAGAGTACAAGAAATCTGGTATGAATATACTGCTTCCTGAGTGCATTATGAAATTCAGTGTGTATTTTATAAGGATCACTCAGGATAGACTATCTTAAGCTGCAAGTTGCAAATAGTGTTATCTAACACATTGTTGCAGAAAACAGCTAAGACTAGAATTCATGATTTTGAGAGAAATAATATGTATACTTACTTACTCAATGTTTTAGTTTGGTTTGGTTTGGTCTGGTTTGGTTTTTTTGGAAGAAAAATTCTAGGACATTTAGTTAAAATAATTATAATTGCAAAATCTAATATTCAGGTGCCTAGTAAACTGCTGAGAAAAAAAAATACTAAATAAAATGACCCACAGGGCTGGGGATGTGGCTCAAGTGGTAGCGCAATCGCCTGGCATGCGCACTGCCCGGGTTCGATCCTTAGCACCACATACAAACAAAGATGTTGTGTCCGCCGAGAACTGAAAAATAAATATTAAAAAACTAACTCTCTCTCTCTCTCTCTTTAAAAAAAATAAAAATAAAAAAAATAAAATAAAATGACCCACAAAGATGGCATCGCTACCTTGTATCCAGCCTTACCCTTTTTTTGCTTGTATACACTTGATGAAAGAGACTGGAAACTCTGCACAAGACCACAGGCAACTGCATTATTAGCATGTACACTTAAGCTACTTTCTGGGATCCATTCTCTATCTCCTGAAATGGAAAAATGGTTGAAATAATATAAAGTATAGAATTAGGCAAATCAATGTGATTGGTTTATTATATTATCTTACTGAACGATATTCATCTGAATTAAGGAATACATATTTAAAAAGATGTATTATGAAATAAAGAATCTCATAAAAACCATTAAATTCATAAATCTTGATTAAAAAGAAAAAGTAAACTAAAATTGCAAATATAATCATGCATATTGAAGAGAAATAAATATTTTTTGAAAGATAAAAAATACAACATAAGGTATAATACTTTACACATGAATACACATGTTTAAACACATAGAAAACGAAATAATATAAAAAACACCAAGATCCAGCTTTATAAACAAAATTACAAAATCAAGAAGTAAGGCCTGATGATAGACATCTGTAATTCCAGAAACTTAGGAAGCTGAGGCAGGAGAATTGCACAACTTGAGACAAGCCTGGGCAATTTAGCAAGACCATATCTCAAAATAAAAAATTAAAAAAGGCTGGGTGTGTGGGCTGAGGCTGTAGCTCAGTGGTAAAGTGCTTGCCTTGCATGTGTGAGACACTGGATTCAATCCTTAGCACAACATAAAAATAAATAAAGATACTGTGTACTGTGTGTTCATTTACAACCAAATAAATATATTTTTTAAAAATGGCTGGAAAAAACATAAAAAATAAAAAAATGGCTGAGTGTGTAGCTTAGTGGCAGAGCACTCATGTGTGAGGCCCTGAGTTCAATCCCTAGTACCAAAAAAAAGAAAGAAATGAGAAATTTGAATATATACATGCATATTGAGTCAGTAATTAAAAAAAAAAAAGTTTCTCACACACGAAAAAATCCCAGACCTAATGGCTTTATGGTGAGGTCAGACAAACATTTAAAGAAGAACAAATAACAATCCTTCTTAAATGTTTTCAAAGATCTATAATGCCAGCATTACCCTGACACCAAAGCCACACAAAGACACTACAAGAAAAGAAAGATTTAGACCAATATCTCTTACAAGCAGTGATGAAAGAAATCGTCCACAAAATACTAGCAAACAAAACTCAGCAGCACACTAAAAGGAATATACTACATGACCAGGATTTGTTCCTAGAATATAAGGAATGTTTAACATATGAACATCGATCACATTGATCAGTGTAATACACCAAACCTTAACTGAATAATTGATGTGTAAAATATACTTCACAAAATGCAATACCATCTTTCAATGAAAGCTCTCAGCAAAATAGCAAGAGTTAGAGATTACCACCACATAATCCATTCCATATGAAAACCCAAAGAAAGCATGATGTGTAATAGTGAAATACTGAAAGCTTTTATTTTTTTTTTCAAGCTCTGGAACAAGTAAAGGACAGCTGGCTTTCAACACTTCTATTCAATATAGTAAAATATATCCTGTGAAATTAGGCAAAAAAAAAAAAAAAGAAAAAGGCGGGGGGGGGGGGGTTGCACCCACATCAGAAACGAAGACATAAAATCATCTCTGTTCAAAAATACGATCTTATTTGTTAGAAAACCCTAGAATTTCCACACACACACACACACACACACACACACACACACACACACACAAATTTAAATAGAGATAATAAAGGAACTCAGCAAAATAGGCTAAAAAGTCAACTACATTTCTTTATACTAGCAATGAACACCCTAAAATAGAAATTAAGAAAATAATTTTGTTTATACTACCATAACAAGTAATAAAATATCTAGGACTCAACCAAGGAGATAAAACCTTTACACAATGAAAAATGAAAACATTGATGAAAAAAATAAAAGAAAACATAAATACATAGTCATGGGCATGACCTAGTAGTGCTAAGATGTCAAAAGTACCAAAAGCAATTTATAGACTAAATGCAATCCCTACCAAAAGCTCAATGATATTTTTTGCAGAAGTAGAAAAACCCATCCTACAATTCATATAGAATCACAAATGACCCTGAATAGTCAAAACAATCTTGAAACACAAGAACAAAGCTGAAAGATACCTCCTGATCTTATAATGTACTATAATGACACAGTAATCAAAACAGTGTTGTACTGACCAATGGAAGAGAATATAGAACCCAGAAGTAAACCCTCATGGCAAAATTATTGTTGTTAGTTGACAAAAATTGAATACATTTAGGGTACACAATATGATTCTTTGAAGTTGAATAAATTGTGAAATAGATAAAATTAAGCTAATTAACATATGCCTTACTTCACAATACATACCTTTTTTTTCCTAAACTGGGAATTGAAACCAGGGTCTCAAACATGCCAGGCAAGCACTTCATCATTAAGCAGCTAACATCCCTAACACAACCTGTACTTTTATGTCTGGTAAAAACACTTAAAATCTATTCTTTTAGTCAAATAATTTTTGACACCAATGTTTAGATCATTAAATGGAGAAAAAAACAGTCTATTCAACAAAAGGTGCTAAAAAACCTTAAATCCATATGCAAATGAGTGAATGTGGACTTTTATCTAATATCAACTATGAAAATTAACTAAAAATGGATGAAGATATAAATCTAAGAAATAAAACTATAGAACTCTTAGGAGAAAACAAGGACCAAAGTTTCAAAATATTGGATCTGGAAATGATTTCTTGGACTTGGTATAAAAGGCACATGAAACAAAAGAAAAAAAATAGACAAAAATAACATTAAGAAAAAAAAATTCTTCATCAAAAAATACTACCAGCTGGGCATGATGAAGCATATCCATAGTCCTAGGAACTCAGGAGACTGAGGTAGGAGTGGACAAGTTTGAAGCTACCCTCAGCAACTTAGCAAGGCCCTAAGGAACTTGGTGAGACCCTGTCTCAAAATAAAAACTAAAAAGGTTGGGGATGTAGCTCAGTGGATTAGCACCCTGAATTCAATCCCCAGTACTCCCCACCTCCTCAAAAAAAAAGCAAGTCACAGAATGACAGAGAAAATAACTTGCAAATAATATTACTATCCAGAATTCAAAAAAGAATTACTCAAAAAAACAAAACAAAAAACACCCAACCTGACCAAAAATATGAGCAAGGGATTTGAATAGATATCACCTCATAGATGCCATCCAAATGACTAATATGCATGTGGAAAGATGCTTAGTATCATGAATCATTTGGGAAATGTAAATCTAAACTACAAGTAACTACAAAGACACACCACCTAAGACTCAGGAAGATTACTATCATCCATAAAACCAAAAATAATACTAGTTGTCAAGGATATGGAACAATTAGAATTCTTGAACACTGTTGATGGAAATGTAAATAACTAAGAATCAATAAAATCAACAACATTAAGCTTATTTTCTACATAATTAAAATAGTACAGCCACTGTGGCAAATAGTATAGTAACTCCTCAAAAATCTAAAAATCAAATTACCATATGATCCAGCCATTCTACTTTTGGGTATATCCCCAAAAGAAATGAGAGCAGTATCTTAAGGAGATACCTGTACACATACATGTTCACAGCATCATTACTTACCACAGTGGAAGGCAGGAGCAGCACAAAGTACACTGATGGATGAATGGGTAAAAAAAGTGGTAAACTATACAATGGGATATTATCCAGCCATAAAACAGAATTTTTAAAAGTCTTTTTCTCTAAAAAGTGGCTTTCAAACTATGTCCCATAGAGTCTTGGAAGTTTGGAGGAATTAATAAAAAAGCTGGAATGAGAGAGCTTAATTCAGACCTTCTATCCTCACTTTTGTATATTTTATTTTATTTTTTTAAAGAAAGAAAACTCAGATACATGAAACAACATGCATGAAACTAGAGGATGTTATGCAAGGTGAAATAAGCCAATCACACACACATAAAAAAAAATACTGCATGATTCCACTTATGTGAATGAAGGATAATAATCAAAACAATAAAAGAATAATCAAAACAATAAAAACAGTAGAAGGATGATTGTCAAGGATTGAGGGAAGGAGAAGATGGGGAGTTATTGTTTAATGAGTGTAGAGTTTCAGCTTTACAAGAAGAAAAGGGTTCTGGAGATGGATGCTGATGAAGGTTGTAAAACATTATGAATGCATTTAGAACCAATGATCTGTAAGCTAAAAGATGATTAAGATGCTAAATTTTAAGTGATGTGTATTTTACCGAGATACAGAAGATTAAAGAAAAAAGGAAATTATAGCTATGTCTCAGTAATTTCACAGATCCTAAGATTTTAAGACTTGTTTTTAAGATTAAATTTAAGGATCTTCCTATAATACTTAGCTGATGAAGTAATTCAGAGGGTTTACATTATTTTATAATATAGTGAAGGCCACACTCTAAACTCTGAAAAGAATCTTTCCCCAATTTCATGATAGTCATGTTTTTTTTCCCCCAAATTTTGATAGCAGCATTAGGTGTAAACATACAGTAACTCACACTGAGCTAATTATTTTAGGGAGACAAAAAGGAAGTTATTTTATTCATTGCATAGAATTGTCCAGTATTTCCATCAATGACAACAGACTGTTTTTAAAAAGTGTGTTAGAGATTTGTTAGGTTGGTCCATACGTCATCTGATTTCATGTCCAAATTTACCTGCAAGTGTAATCCTAGTACTGGAATGGTTGCATTCTAAACTATAAGAAGGAATTAAGTTCAGTTTTTCATTTTTATCAAAAGTAAAGAATCTCTCAAGTCCTTGATATGGTTCAGTTATAGGTTTACTTCTGAGGGCTATTTCTTGTAATAACTAGGAAACAAAATATTCAACAAAATTAAGTTTATTTTCTTCTTTATTATAACAAAGAACTGCATTCATTCATCAAACATCTTACCATGTACTCTGTGGCATAAATTATTCTCTCATTAAGTTCTAACAGTGGAGACATAAATAACACAATATTAATAGATAATAAGTTCTGAAGAGTGTATAAACCACAATCATAGTAATTATCTGAATGCTGTCATCAATGCAAGGAGAATGAATATCATAAAATAAAATTAAAATTTCCTTTCTCCCTTCTTTACTTTCTTCTCTCCATGTCTTCATACCTAAATTGTCTGGAATACAGAGTTCCTTTCATATGTGGTGCGATTGACCTAGTATATTGACCTAGTATATTATACATACAATAATTTCAAAGATGCAAGTAAAATACCAGGGAAAATACGTCTGATCTGACAATGGTCAGGGATAAAATCCAAGTTAACAAAACACTCATCTTGAGGCAAATATACAAGCAAGAAAATGAGAAGTAATTAACAAAGTTTATGTAGCTATAAACTAGCAGAATTGGGCTTTGAACATGGGCCTTGCTAATTTGAAACCAAGGCTTATTCCATCACCATATTATTCTGTTTTTGTATATGTTCTTATTCTTGGATAGGATACAACTGTGATTGAATATAACACATGAATATAGTAGGAAGCATATTAGCAAATCAAAAGTGAGAGCTATAGATGGCTTAAGATATAATCACAGTGACTTTCCATATTTAAAAATTCCCTGATGAATCTAATTAATGCCCAAATATAGCCTATTTCAAGGGATTAAAGAATACAAAGCAAATGCTATAACTCTTTGCAAATTTACAAATCATATAAATGAGAAAATATAAAACGAAGCTAGTGACCAATAAAACATGCCATTCAAAGACAAATCTAAATCCATTCTTTTCAGAACATCTTTGTGACTCTCAGATATTGATCAGAACAGAATTCCTTCAGATCTATACGATTGCAAATCTGGAAGTTTTAAAAAGTCTTGCTTTACATATAGGGAAAGTTATACAAGGTTATGTTTTGTTTTGTCCAAACTCACAAAGCTAACTATTAATAGCCATGAATCCAGAACCAAGGACCTCTGACGGGTCCATGTTTTTCCCAAAGCTACCAGTAAGTCCTTCATTCCTCAGGAAAATTCTACCTCATGAAAATTGAAGAGGGAAATTAAGATCCTTACAACTCAATTTGGGTGTCAGGAAATGCTAATCAAGAACATGAATTTTCTTCTGGACACAATAGATACCTAAGTAATTTCTGCTTAGGGAATGGCCTCTCCTAGGATAAAAGGAGATTTTAAAAAAACACTCCAGGTCTCATCATTAAGGTTGAAAAGAAAGTGAATATATTCAAGGGCAAGAATTGGGTCTGCAAACTATGAAGTACCAATTTTTCTGATGTCAACTTTAGAAAGCTCTGCTTACTTTACAGCTCCCCTCTTGGTTGCTTTCTGTTTTGTATGTCTACAGCTTTGAGCTCTCTCTTGCTTTAACCCATTGTAGAAATCAGCCATCTCCTGGAAGATGCTCAACAGAATCTGGGCCACTCAGTCTGAATCCTATTAAGTGGAAGATAATTTCTATGAAACTATTTACACTTTTTTATTCCTCACTTAAAATTATGTTGGAGTGCGTTAAAATATTTTATTTATAGAAAAGCAATTATCAAGTTGCAGACCCTTAAATCTATTGAAGACTCCTTTACAATTCTTTGACAGATTCTTCCAACAAAGTATAAGTTTTTCAATCCAATATCCCCCATGAGAAAAAGTCAGGCTTTACATACAACTACTTTGCTACAGTCCAGAACTACATTCAGACTGACCTAATTGAAATAAACAAGCACCACGTAAGCCATTTTACCACAGTCGCTGTGCTTGATAATTTCAGCAGGTTCAAGCTGGTAAGAACTTTATGTATCCCAGATGTTTACATGCTTTTCTAGATTGTTAAGTGATCTAGGTTTTGTCAGAATATATTATGTTCTGAACAATTTAAAATGTTAAATGGAATAAAACTAGAATGTACCCAAACAATATATACCTTTTACTAAATATCTAAACTTAGTGATAAACCTTATAAACTGATGTTGTGGTTTAGATATGCGGTATCCCCAAAAAGCTCATGTGTGAGACAATTCAAGAACACTGAGAGATGAAATAATTAGATGGTTAGAGTTGTGACCTAATTGGTGGATTAATCCACTGATATGAATTAACTGGATGGTAACTGTAAGCAGGTAGGGTGTGGATGGAGGAGGTATCTTACAGGGAAGCAGCTTTCAGGGTATATATTTTATCACTGGTAAATGGAGTTCTTTCTCTCTCTGCTTTCTAGTTGCCAGGTCCTGAGCTGCTGTCCTTCAACATGCCCTTCCACCATGATGTTCTGACTCACCTTGGGCCCAGAACAATGGATTGGTTGACCATGGACTGAGACCTCTGAAACCATGAGCCCCAAATAAACTTTTCCTCCTCTACATTGATCTTCTCAGGTCTTTTGATCACAGAAATAAAAAAAAAAAAAACTAACTAAATCAATCAAATAGGATGGTATGCTCATATAAAAGAAGTAAAAGAACACTGCTGGGAATTGGGGATGCAATATAAGTCATAGCTTTTCTTGACAGACCATGATTAATTGCAGGAAGCGAAGATGAGATACAAGTTACTGGATTAACTACCTACTGGATTAGTAACCCACTTCCCTTGGAAACTGGATTGGAAAATGGGCAGGGCCTAATAGGCATGCATGTTTCCTTATTCCTGTTCTATTGAACAGAAAGGAATTAAAGGGAAAGCTTTTTACAGTGAATTTATCCAGGAAGACATGGATAACAGAAGCAGGGAAGGATAAGACACCATTGAGAACTTACTGGTAAAGAAGAGGTCAAAATAAAGGAGATTGCCATCTGAAACAGATGCAAATACCTACACAAAAGGAGACTGATATACATGTACAGAGAGAAGGAAATACCTTAGCAGAATAATGAGTTAAATTATTTTAAGGCAATATCCCTGTCCTGATGATATCAAACTCTAGTATCCCTAACCACTAAAGTTATTCTTTTTTCCATGGAGAGAACTGACTACAAGATTGGAGAAACTCACTGGCATGGTTCATTGGAAAACTGCAGTCTCCTTCAGGTGAAGCTTATTCTCTCCCCTTGGAAATATGAGGGCAAAGGAATATGTAGTCCTCTCCAAAACATCACCTGACTATTGATGACATGGACTTGGGACTGTCCTCACCTAAAATTGTGGGTAACTACTGTCTTCCTGAAAAATAGCTAAGGAACAAACATGTTGTACTAAGCCAAAATCAAGACAGTTAGGCTACACTGAATCATTTTAACAACCAGATGGATAATATTAAAAAATTCTCTTTAGGCTCTCAAATAAATCTGTTGAGGATGTTTTCATAAATTTCAATAATGACTTCCTGAATACTTACTATGTGTAAATCACTGTACTCAATTATGTAATCACTCACCACCTTAACAAAAAGCACATTTTTATAATAGTAATTTCAGGAATCAAACGACAGTTAGTAACACTGTAAAATTTTTGTTTTAATTGTGAAGTACTTTTAAAATGTAAATATATGACACATAATTTTGTCAAATTAATATGCTCCAGATATTTGTACCACAAAACCTTTTAGACTTTGTAGATATTTATGTTGACATTAACATATCCTATTCCAGTGCATGTTTCTGATTACTATCATTTCTGAGTGTATTCATAAAAGTTACAATTATCTTAAATGTTTGCAAAAACTGAGCTAGGTTCTCTGGCACTCCTATAATCCTAGCTACTCAGGAGGCTGAGACAAGAGGATCAGGATCGTTACTTCAAGGCCAGGTCAGCAATTTATTTAGACCCAGTCTAAACATAAAAAATTTTAAAAAGGGTTGAGGATGTAACTTAGTGTTAGTGTCCCTAGGTTCAACCCCAAGTATAGAAAGAAAAAATGTCACACTTACACTCTATGTATTTTTTTCACAGTTATATGTTTACATTATATTTTTGATCTGTATCCATGTGTATGATAGAAGTTCCCTTTCATACATTTTAACTGGTACATTGGTTTGCATTTTATATAGACTACCAATGATTATATTACCTGTGGTATTTGTAAAATGTCTTTTATTAGCATTATGGGACATGTACTTTACTAATTATTTGAATTTTTTTTAATTTATCAAAAGCTTTATCACATCCATTGAGCTACTGAATTTTTGAGAAAACGCTAATTGAGTTCCTTTTTCACATAAGTTACTGGATTTGGTTTGCTATTATTTTATGACATCTAAATTTGTATTTTGGAAAATAATCTTTTCCTAGTTTCTCTATTAATGTTATACTAGCCTCAGAAAATAATTGGGGAATTTTCTCTTCTTTTCTATTCTTCATAAGAGGTTGAATAATTTAAATTATCAATTCTTTAATGGCTTATTAAAATTTACCTCCAAAACTTAACCTATGTCTTACTTTTTTTTTAATTGTATTTTTTTTTTTATGAAAGGAAAGGAGTTAAGAAGACAATAGATGAATGTCTGCTAGTTGAAATGCTTTTATGGTGTCTAGTCCATTTTGTGTTACAACAATAGAATATCATAAAACATGAAAGTTTTAAAGAAAATAATTTTATTTCTTAAAATTGTGGAGGCTAGAAAGTCATCTAGTGAGAAATTTCACGTTGTATGATGACCTAACCACTTCAAATGTCCTACCTCCCCACTCCAGTCCTCTGAATATTGAGCTCCAAACTTGAGCACTTAAGTCATATTTATAAAACATCTAGCTTTTTTTCAAAATTTTTGAAAGTACTGTTTTAATGCTATAAGTAACTAACAATTTGAACATTATATCATTCACTGTTCTGACTTAACATATACTGTTTATTTGTAATTTCTTCAGTTTTTTTTTTTTGGGTCAACATGTCCAAACATAATATGTAGTCTTAATATGGTAGACTTTAGCCTTTTACAAAACAGCTTCTAATTGCACTGATACTATTTATCACTTTTTGTCTTAGTAATTTCTGTACTTAACATCATTATTTTTTTCTATATCTTTGAGTTTGGTTAATTATCATTGTTTTATTATTTATGAGTCAGGTTCATAACTCATTAATTTTCACTCTATATTTTCTTGCATTTATGGTTACATGTGCTTCATAAACTATAATAGTTACATCCCAAGAAACCCACCATTAAAATGAAAATATTATAAAGTTGAAAATGCATTTAATACATGTAACCTGACAAACATCATAGCTTAGCAACACATCACAATGTAAAGTAACTAACTTTGAGCTACAGCTCAAGGTCACTACCTAGTATTGTGAACAAATATCATATCAAATATCCAGAAAAAGGACAACATGCAAAAATTGAAGTATGGTTTCTGCTAATTATGTATCGTTTGGGGTCACATTTAATGTCAAATATTTAAAATTTATTTCTTAATCCAAACTTATTTGAATTGTGTTTAATTTTCTTACCATTTTGTTATCAATTTATAATTTATTTTACTGTGGTTGAAAAACACAGTGTCTGATATAATTTCTTTAGGATTTATTGAGACTTTCCTTGTAGCTTTGTTTTGGCAATGAGTTATAAAACTGTATTTTGTAAATGTTCTATGTTTCTGCAAAGAATACACATTCTCTAATTATTACAGGGTTAATACTTTGTCCTGTAAGCTGATTTACATTGTTCAAATTTTCTCTATTTTCACAAGTTAAAAAAAATCCTATTGGTTTGATGGGTCTGTCAGTGATATTATGTAGTTTTGTCCATTTTTGCTACAATATATCTGAGGTTATATTAATAGATACCTACAAGTTCAGATTTCATTTAATTTTCCTGACAAATAATTCATTTTACATACATTGTAATCCCCTTTGCTTTTATTTAAGATAATGCTTTTATTATCTTAAAGTTCTCATTATTTTTTTTAAGTTAGTGCTTTTCTTTACTCTCAAACTTTTCCTCATGTTTAATTTTAAATAAGTTTATGGTTTAAAACAACCATCTAGATTGTTTGTATATCCAAACTTAGAATCTGTATCTAACTTCAGATTATACAATTTAATCTGTTCACACTTTAATCTGTTCACAGCTATTCTAATTACTTATATGCTTAAATTTATTTCTGTCAACTTACTCTTTCTATTTGTCTTCAAGAACCGTGAAAGGTCTGAAATTTATCCTCTTTGCAAATCTTTACCCTATCTTCTGGCAAACGATACAAGACTTCTTGGTCAGAGACAAAGGAGATTATTATTCAGAGCTAAAGCAGTTGTCTAAGTATCACTAATTTGAAATTGGTATTCCAAGGACCCAATTTCCAGAACATTGTGACAACTTGGTAGGTTAGGCAGACTTACTATTCAGAACTAAAGAGTAGGCTCTGTATGCTAGGATGCTTTTCCTATAACCCAGCCCACCCCCACCCGTATGAGCAGGTTTTACCAAGTCACCTTCATAATACCCTGTGTGGTAATTGGAAAATTGGTTTTCTTCTGTTTTATTCGCTGAAATTCATGCAGTGATCATTTGTTTTCATTTGGAAATTGGGGATATAAGCTCTTCTAAGGTGGAACTTTATTTGGGGAATTCTATTGTTGGATAAACTATAGGAAGGTCTTTCTAGAAGACATTGGGATTTACTTCTATCAGATACATAAGTCTATTATTAATAGGAATGATTTGACAATGGCATTAATCTCTTAACTTGGAGATTTCAAATATATTGAATAGGTATATAAAGACCTACACTTTGTGATTCTGCAACCGGAACACTCAGAAAATGAGAAATTATACCCCATCTGATTCAAATGTTAAAAAAAAAAAGAATGGGATCCTAATTAGAAAAAAATTATACTCCATGTTTGTATAATATGTGAGAATACAATCTACTGTTATGTATATCTAAAAAGAACAAATAAAATTTTAAAATTATATAAACAAAGACCTATACTAAATGAATGCCTGAGATTTTCATTTTTCATGATAGAAGTTGTACTGATTGAACTACCCCAAATCTTATATATCAGTTTCCTTTCATCTTGTTATACATATGATTATTTCTTCTGATGCATTCCTTTAGGGATCTAAGCATTTTTTTATTAGAGCATTATAGTTATACATAAGTAGTTGGGTCCATTTTGACAAAATCATACACATGTGGAATTTTATTTCAATGGGATCTAAGTTTTTTCAGAGGTCTCAATTTTTCATTTTACAAAGAAACAACATAAGTTACAAAGTAGGCAGAGAAAGCCAATTGCCCAAGAAAAGTAACAGCAACCCAAATAGTCATTCTTCTGTACTTAGGGTTATTATTTCAGTTTAGGTTTCTGGAGATATATCTTAAATAATTATTAAAGATTATGAAAATGTTTGATAACCCAACTTCCAAAGAATTTACTATTAATAATCACAATTACTGAAAACGTCTACTATATATCATTAAGGAATAAATTTTAGTCTTAAAATCTGGCAACAATAAAATAATGAGCTACATTATGTTTATCTACTCTGAGAAGAAACAGACCAAAAAAAAAAAAATCCACCACCATTTCCTTATTAGTCCTAATTCTTAAAGAATTAATTTCTTTCCCTTATATTATACCACAGAAATTAGTTCTATCTATGTATCTACATTATTTCATTTTGACCAAGATATAACAAAACCTGTAGGATTTATTATATTATTTGTAAGAATGAATTTCATTTGTAAAAGCAATAGCACTCTTATATGAGGTGGGCCTTAAAATTCTGACCTGTAAGTCATTGAGTTTTATTCTTCACATGAGTTACTCTTCAGCCACCACATGATAATAAAAGGAAGTACATTTTAACTTCAATAGAAAATAGCATTTGAAAACATGTTATGTCAAAGTGACATTTTCCTATGAAAATTCCTTATACTAATGTTAATATAATAAACATAATAGAAATTTACCAGTGGTGATTCTGTAGTTTTAGAAGAGTTTGGTCTTTCATGAAGATTGCTAGATTCCAAGGATTCTTTGATGTGTTGAGATAATTTCTCCTCAACAGAAGGTTTATCTAAATCTATATTTGTCAAGGAATCCTTCCTCTCAAGAGATGTACAGGAATCATCAGACTTTTGGTTACTTTCTGTATCTATCTGTTTGTCTTTGAAATTTCCTTTAAAAGAGCTGTTTTCCCCTATTTTTCCGATGTTGAGATAATAAACATCAGGATCCATAACTTTGTCAAAATCTACATATGAAGTTCCTGCTGTTGAAAACACATATTTATAAAAAGTAAAGAGATTCAAATAAATTAATTAATTTAAATGTTAATAAAATAGAAATTTTGTGATAAAAATTTTACCAATAAAGCCTTCTTTTATCCAAATTTCTTTCCTGATTGGTTCAGCATGAAAATACTTTTACTATACTTATGTTCATAAATGGCAATCATAATTTATTTATACAGGCAAACATTAGTAATGGGACTAATAGAAGGAGGTAAGATGTTATTTTTGCAATGAAATCTTGAAATTAATGCAAAGTTTTATTTTGGTCTGCAGTTCAGTTCCCATTTCCCCATCTCTTCTCAGATTTTCCAACTGCAATTCATAAGAATTAATTCAAATGAAACCATTGTCCACTGTCGCTTTGTCCCGTCGACCTAAACACTCAGACCTTTCACCCACCCAGGGATGCCATTTGCAGGGCTGCGCGAAATAACCACACTAGAGACAGAAATACCTTTTTGTATGAGTGGGGGTGTGTGTGACTGCTCCTCTGACCTTAAGGGTCTGCAGAAAGAGACAGAGAGCACATGCTGACCCCTTTTATTGAGGAGAAGCTATTCAAATGAGGCAAGGGGTCAGGTTTCAAGGGGCTGAGTCTAGCTTCATGATGTCTGCTGTCAACAGGTTGATTGACATCTGGGTAGGCCACACCCAAGGGCACAGTAAGAGAAGGGAATACACAAAGGATGTTTCCATGGAACATTCTATCCCAAACCCGGCAAGAGGTAATATTACAAAGGAATAGGTGAGCATAGCTCCACCCAGCACCCTAAAAGATTGGGGCAATTTTCTGGGTTACCTAGGCAACCAGATCACAGAGTGACTTATGACGATGATGCCACACCAATTAGAAGGGGAGACAGACGCAGTCACGTGCTAGTCAGCCTCCCACAGTCCACGATTTACCTCCTTTTCCCTAGCATGCTTAGTGATAAGGAGAGGGCAAAGGGAAATCTACCCAGTGAAAGAACAGCAGCAGTTGGAGGCACAGAAAATGTGTAGCTGGGACACCTTCCTCTAGAAAGTTACAAAATGAGCGAGATCATATTAGTCACCCACCTCATTAAGTCTGTTTTAAATAAATCACTTGGTGTAGATAATTGGTTTTCAATCTACTGCACAATGGAATCATGTGAAGGTGCTCTTTAAAACTGACTGTGTATAGGCCTGACCCCAAACCAATTAAATCAGACACTGGAGGTGAAACTCAAGCGCTGGCCTTTTTTCCCCCCTTCCCCTACCAAATTCTTCTGGTGATTATAAAGCACAGCCAGAGTGGTGAAATACTGGTTAAGACTTTCTGAAGAATGACAATTCTTTAATGATTTTTGCATTCCTTTGTTTTTATTATAAATAAAAGTACATATGCTACTTTGGTATTGAATAGAGCTTTATCTGATTATCCCTTACTCTCTTTACAAAACAAATATCTCTATAAATAGACTACCTAAAATAGTAGAGGCTTTGACTAGACTTATCTCTCCAATAATGTGAATTCTGCTTTACATTCCAAAAGATTTCGTTGTTATGTTCAAATGTTTACATTCATGGTAATTACACATGGTATGTAGAACTTTCACTTCTGACTACAGCAGTTCTTAAATATCACAAAAATATTATGAGAAATAAATAATGTGTATATCAGAAAAATACTTTTATAAGAACATTATTAAGGCTTCTACAGTAGTACTATACTTCTCTGTTAAAATTATCTGATTTTTATAGAAATTATCTGATTTTTCATTAGAAAAAGAAGCCATTTCTTATGTTGAATTTTCTACAACTACCTTCAATAATATTTTAAGGTTGTAAAATTCTACTACAGTCATTGTCATTGAAAAAGTGAAAAAAATAGTCTTTTAATAATGTTTAAAATGCAATGTAAGAAGCCTTTTAAATATTTAACTTAGTCTATTCATGGAAAGCCTGGTGCAGTGGTGCATGCCTGCAATTCCAGCAGCTCTGGAATCTGAGGCAGCAGGATCGTGAGTTCTAAGCCAGCCTCAGCAACAGTAAGGTGCTAAGCAACTCAGTGAGACCCTGTCTCTAAATAAAGTATAAAAAAATAGGAATGGGATGTGACTCAGTGATCAAGTGCCCCGAGTTCAATTCTTGGTATCCCCCCACAAAAAAAGCCCTATTGTGTTATAAATATTATGTGTCTTAATTCAATACTCAACAACCAATTATTCTTATGAATCACTTGGGTTGAAGAAGAAAAATCATATGATCATAGTGAAGCATTCTGTTAAAAGCATTTGACAAAATCTAACCCCTATTCATGATAAAAACTCTCAGCCATCTGAAAAGAGAAGAGAATTTCCTTAATTTGATAAAGAACATCTCCAAATGTCTTAACCACTAACCTTATGCTTAATAGTAAGAAACAAGAGCTTTTCTGCTAAGATCAGGAATAAGAAAATAATATCCCTTCCTTCCATTCCTTTTCAACATTGTACCAGAATTCCTACTTAATCCAATAAGATGGGGAAAGGAAATGAAGGTACTAAATGATAAGGATGTCTGTCTTTATTCCCTGATGACTTGATTTTCTATGTAGAAAATTCTGAAAATATCACCATCACCCAAAATCAGGCTTGAACTTATAACCAATTATAGCAAGGATGTAGAATATGAGATTAAAGTATAAAAGTCTATCTCTTTCCTATAAACTAGTAATGAATAACTGGATTTAAAACTGAAAACTCAAGACCATTTATATTAGCAACCCCCTCCCCACACAAATAAAATACCTAGATATAAATCTAATAAAATATGTATAAGGTCTGTATGAAGAAAACTATAAGGTTCTGATGAAAGATATCAAATAACTAATTAGACAAATATTTCATGTTTCTGGATAAGAAGATTCAATATTTAAAGATGTCAATTCTTCCCAATTTGATATGTAGATTTCATGTCATCTCAATAAAATTCCTAGTTTAATTTGGTGACTATTGACAAACTCATTCTAAAGTTTTTATGAAGAGGAAAACAAACCCAAAGAGGCAACACAATATTAAGGAAAGAGCAGTTAGAGGACTGACACCATCCAACTTCAATAATTACTATAAATATATAATAATTATATGGCTTGGTATTAGTAAAAATAGATAAAAAGATCATTGGAAGACGACACAAGACCCAGAATATATAAATAAATAAAACTAAGTAATCTTTGAAAAAGGAGCAAAGACTGTCTATTGAAGAGAAGATTGTCTTTTCAACAAATGATGGTGGTGCACAAGAAAAACCACACAAGAAAAAAAATGAACACAGACACAGACTTTGCAACTTTCACAAAAGTGAACTCAAAATGGAGAATAGACCTATATATAAAATGCAAAACACAGAATAAGACATAGATGATCTTGCATATGGCAATAAATTTTGAGACACAATGCCAAAGAAATAATAAGATGAACTTCATTAAAATTAAAGACTTTCGCTCATGAAAAAATACTTTTAGGAGAATGGGATGATAATCCACAGACTGACAGAAGATATTTGTAAAAGACATGTTTGATAAAGGATTGTTATCCAAAATATACAAAGAACTCTTAAAATTGAAGAATAACAAAGCAACCAATTTAAAAATAGACAAAATTATAAACAGATACCTCAATGAAGAAGATATACAGAAGGCAAATAAGCACACCAAGAAAGTTCAACCTCACATGCCATTAATAAATTGAAAACAAAACAATGAGTTATTACTACACAATAATTACAATAGCAAAACTCTAAAACATTGAAAACCTCAAATATAGATTAGGATATAGGTCAATGGAAATTCTTGTTAAATACTCATGGAAATGTAAAACAGTATAGCCACTCTGGTAGACACAGTGGCAATTTCATACAGAACTAAACATACTCTTGCATGAGATCCAATAAACATCCTTCTTGGTATTTTCCCATGAGGTGAAAACTTATGTATAATGGGTTTTTACCCACATATGCATGTTAATGGAAGCTTTGTTAATAATACTCAAAGTTTGGAAGCAATCAAGACATCCTTCAATAGGTCAATGGATAAATAAGCATATACATGTACAACAGAATATTTTACAGTGCTACAAAGAAATGAGCTTTTTAGTGTGGAAGGTTGACAGTGAGGAAAGCTGTGCATATTTGGGGACAAAAGACATATAGCAACTCTCCCTAATTTCTGCTCGGGTTTGATGCAAACCAAAAATGGATCTCCATAATAAATTTTTAAAAATATCTTTAAAGAGATCTAAGATGAAAAAAAAAAAAAAAGAGAGAGAGATCTAAGATGACCAGCTAGAGGCAGGCTGCATTCTGTGTCACTCTATGACCTGAGATTTAAGTAGGAGAATGCTGCTTGTCTGTGAGTTATTAAAGGACACCCAACAGCTGCTCCCGCACAGGAATAACAGCCACTGTGCCTGCACAGGTCTTCAGGGCTCAGCATCAGTGCAGGACTCTCAGCTATTCACCCACACAGGACCTCCAGCAGCTGTGCCAGAGCAGGACCACTGGCATCAGCACCCACACAGGACTCCTGGCTGCCACCCTAGCAGGAATACTGGACGCCGCTCCCACACAGGACCTCCAGCCTCCACTCTGTGTGGACCCCCATCTACCAACATGGGGCTTCTCTGGTCGCCTCCATCTTGGAACACTGCAACCTCTGCCATAGTCCCCTACATGCGGTAGCCTGCACCTGGGGACACCATACAGGGTCTGGAGATAGCTGCCAGCCACAACACTGCACACCACAGACTGCATCTCTGAACACACCACCCAACACCACCACCGGCCCCAAGAGGTTGGTTCAATATATGGAAATCAATAAATGTAATTCATCACATCATAAACTTAAAGTTAAGAATCATATGATCATCTCATAGATGCAGCAAAAGCATTCGACAAAACACAGCACCCCTTCATGTTCAAAACACTAGAAAAATAGGGATAATACGAACATATCTCATCATCATAAAAGCCATCTATATGCTAAGCCCCAGGCCAACAACATTCTAAATGGAGAAAAATTGAAAGCATTCCCTCAAAAAACTGGAACAAGACAGTGATGTCCTCCTCTTTCACCACCTCTATTTAACATAGTCCTTGAAACACTGGCCAGAGCAATTAGACAGAAGAAAGAAATTAAAGGCATATGAATAGGAAAAGAATAACTCAAATTGGCACTATACCTCGAAGACCCAAGACATTCCACCAGAAAACTTCTAGAACTAGTAAATGCATTCAACAAAGTAGCAGGATACAAAATCAACACCCATAAATCAGAGGCAGTTCTGTATATCATGACAAATCCTTGGAAAGGGAACAAGGAAAACTACCCCATTTACAATAGCATAAAATAAAATAAAATACTTGGGAATCAACTTAATGAAAGAGGTGAAAGTCTTCTACAATGAAACTACAGAATGCTAAAGAAAGAAATTAGAGAACACCTTAGAAGATGAAAAGATTTACATTGTTCTTTGATAGACAGAATTAATATTGTCAAAATGACCACACTACCAAAAGCACTATACAGATTTAATGCAATTCCGATCAAAATCCCAATGATATTCCTCATAGAAAAAGAAAAAGCACTCATGAAATTCATATGGAAAAATAAGAGACTCAGAATAGCTAAAACAATCCTTAGCAGGAAGAGTGAAGCAGGTGGCATCACTATACCAGAACTTAAACTATACTACAGAGCAATAGTAACAAAAGCAGCATGGTATTGGCACCAAAACAGACTGGTAGACCAATGGTACAGAATAGAGGATACAAAGACTAACCCACATAATTACAGTTATCTTATATTTGACAAAGGCGCCAAAAATTCACATTGGAGAAAAGATAGCCTCTTCAATAAATGGTGCTGTGAAAATTGGAAATCCCAATGGAACAAAATGAAATTAAACCCCTATCTCTCACCATGCACAAAACTCAACTCAAAGTAGATCAAGGACCTAAAAATTAAACCAGAGACCCTGTGTCTAATAGAAGAAAAAGTAGGCCCAAATTCCCATTATGTCATATTAGGCCCCAACTTTCTTAATAAGATTCCTATATCCAAAGTACATCTATGAAGACACAAATTAGTATGAAACTACTTTGTATACAACCAGAGATATGAAAAATTGTGCTCTATATGTGTAATATGAATTGTAATGCATTCCTCTGTCACATATAATTTTTAAAAAATTAATTTAAAAAAACATATATCCATCAAAAGATTGTAAAACAACCTAAGTGTACATTAGTAGCAAGCTAGTTAAGCCAGTGAGGTACTTCCATAATGGAATACTACAGGCTATTGAAAAGAATGAATAGCTCTACATATATTAATATGGAAATATCTACAAAATACATTGCCAAGTGACAAGATGTAGAACTTTATGCACAGTATGCAGGGGTGGGGAGGAATATACAGTAATTGCATACATGTTTATTTATGTGAAGAGTATTTCCAGAAAGATACTTTTGAAATTAGAAACAATGACTGCCTCTGGAGAAGAAAACTTACTTTCACTATATTTCAATGATTTAACTGATGAATTTTGTACCATGTGCATGGACTGTCTATGAAAAACAAACTACTTTAAAAATTAAAAGAAAAAGACTGTTATAGCACAAGAATTAATATTAAGAATCAATAAATGGGATGGATTCAAACTAAAAAGCTTCTTCTCAGCAAAAGAAACAATCAGTGAGGTGAATAGAGAGCCTACTAATTGGAAACAAATCCTTACCACATGCACATCAGATATAGCACTAGTCTCTAGAATATATAAAGAACTCAAAAATCTTAACATCAAAAAGTCGAATAACCCAATCAATAAATGAGCCAAGGAACTGAATAGATAACTTCTCAGAAGAAGATATACAATCAATCAACAAATATATGAAAAAATGTTCAACATCTCTAGCAATTACAGAAATGTAAATCAAAACTACTCTAAGATTTCATCTCACTACAGTCAGAATGGTAGTTATTAAGAATACAAGCAACAATAAATGTTGGCAAGGATGTGGGTGAAAAAGCACACTCATACATTGCTGGTGGGACTGCAAATTGGTGCAGCCAATATGAAAAGCAGTATGGAGAATCTTGGAAAGCTGGGAATGGAACCACCATTTGACCCAGATATCCTACTCCTCAGTCTATACTCAAAGGACTTAAAAACAGCATATTACAGGGACACAGCCACATCAATGTTTATAGCAGCACAATTCACAATAACTAAACTGTGGAACCAACCTAGATGTACTTCAGTAGATGAATGGATAAAGAAAATGTGGTATATATACGCAATGGAATATTATTCAGCATTAAAAGAGAATAAAATTATGGCATTTGCAGGTAAATGGATGGAGTTGGAGAATATTATGTTAAATGAAATAAGCCAATCCAAAAACCCAAAGGCCAAATGTTTTCTCTGATATGTAGATGCTGACCCATAATAACAGGGAAGATGGGAGGACTGGAGGAACTTTAGATAGGTCAAGGGGTGGGAGGAGAAAGGAGTGAGGGCATGGGGGTAGGAAAGATGGTGTAATGAGATCGATATCATACCCTATGTTCATGTATGAAGACACAAATAGTGTGACTCTACACTTTGTGTACAACCAGAGACATGAAAAATTGTGCTCTATATATGTACTATGAATTGAAATGCATTCTGCTGTCATGTATAACAAATTAGAATAAATAAATACATAATTTAAAAAAAATCTTTAAAGTAACACTTATTCCAATTTTTATCTTCACTTTTTTCACAAAGGCAATTGAAACATCGTGCTATCTCAGTCAAATAACATTTATTTTCTGGACCAAATTTGGAGCCCTATAAATTTTAAGTTCCAAAGTAGATACAGTTTATACTCAGCCATAACTTTTCAGAGGCTTGGTAGTTGAAATAGTAAGACCAGTGAGATTGACATAAGTCTACTTCTGTTCTGTACACTTTCCTGCCAATTGGAAAGTAATCATTAGTTTTACAATAGTTACTTTAAATAATATCCTTCAGGATCTCTCAAAGATTTCATGTAAAATATATTCATTGTTTTTTTATGAAAATTCTATTTTTGGTAGATAAAATATAATGTTGAAAAGGAAACCTCAAAATTATCTGATTCTTACATTTTAGCTTAGAAAAGTGAAATCTAAGAAAGTGAATGATGGTTTCAAGGTGAAACCCTTATTTCCTATCTGGAAAGAAGATAGGAAAGCAAATTCTGACTCACAGGCTAGGATACTTTCCTATGATCCTCTAAATGATGATCTCACAATCAAAAAAGTGAATCCAGACACTTGCACACAGCATACTAGAATCCAAAGGAACTACTAGTAATAATAACACTGAAATATAAATAAGACGATTTGTTTAGGTTTATCTCTTACATAAAGTTTTACAGTAAATGAAAATATTGTGAGGATATATTTAATATGAGAACCACAGGGTGTCAATCAAGCTGTTGTCACTAAAGCATTTTTCATGTAATTTCTGAAATGTTAGTTCAGTCCAGAATAACTTTTAGAGAATCCTAAATTGGCTTATTTTTCTTATGAACACAAACACTGTTGTCCATTGTCTAAGAAGGCTTATATTTGCTAGAAAATTATATGTTTTCAACCAATTATCTTCTAAGTGCTAAATTTTCTGGTTTTAAAATAAACAGAATAATCAGCAAAACTTTTATATACTACAGTATCTTTGGTTTTATTAACATTCATTGTTAATAATATTAAGCAACAATAAAAAAATTACCTTTTAGGTTATCTTCACAATACATGGAGTTGTTTTTCAGACCAAGATTTAAGAGGTCTGTTTTCTCCTCGTTGAAAACATGATTTTGATGGATATCATTTTCATGTGGAAACCTATTCTGCTGATAATCATGAAACGTACAACTTTCATGTTTAGGGAGAAACACAAAAATAGAGGAAAAGAAAAGATATTTAAGAGCCCCAGTTTAGTAAAAATAAATATAGTAAAGCCTTAATGATACAGGATATTTATGTAAATTTAATATTGTTTTAGCCTTTATTTGGATATATTCTAAACTACCAGTTAACTACTGTTAAGTAGTTAACTGGATCAAATTCAATTTAATTAAAAATTTTTAATTGACATTTCCTGTTTCAAAACATTTTGAAATAATTTGATTTCTTACATTCTGTCTTCTAAAGATAAAGAGTTATCTTTCAAACTCATTGAAATCTGATGAAATCCAGGTTTTATTACTAGCTAACCATATTTTGGTATTTATAAGAGTTAAAAAGTAGTAAATGGTATTTAGGTTTTTAATTTTTGATAATGGTTACTATCTATAAACCTAATTATAATTTAAATAGCATTAACTATGACTTGAATAATACACTTAATAATACCTGATGTTTATGTAAGCTCTACATGTACCATCATAAAATTTGCAGATTACAAAAGATCCCCCCCCCCTTTTTGATCCCATTTTATCACTTAGGATCCCTAGGAGGGAGATAAAGTTAAGGTAATTTTATGAGCACCTTCAAACCAAAGCTGTAAAACTACCAAACCATGACCAGGAATCTTCTCCCCGCCTCTAATACTACACACAGGGTCAAAACAAAGACATGTGATAACATATATAAAATAATCAAATTAGAAAGCAGAAATACCATTCATTTCCTTAGCAACAAAGTAATGGACAGAAACCTCTTATCTAGTGACCAGAAAAGTTTTCTCCTACTAAAAGCATATTTATTCCTAGACATCTGGGTCTATATAGCTGAATAAGGAGCTTTCTGGGGGCAATGGGGGAAGGGGGGAATTCCTTAGCTATCTAGCAATTGTGAAACACTCTCAGGAGTCTTTAAGTTGATCTGAACAAAGAATAGCTATAGGAACTACTAAATAATAACATCATACTAAAGATAATACTTCATAGTAAAAATATGTGAAATCCTAAAGTTTCAACAGCAAAGGGGTAATTCTTTTGAATCTTTTTTTTTTAGTTATACATGACAGTGGAATGTATTTTAACATATCATATGTAAATAGAGTATAACTTCCAATTCTTGTAGTTATACATGATGTGGAATTACACTGGTCATATATTCACATATGAACATAGGAAAGTTATGTCTGATTCATTCTACTATCAACAGCAAAGGGAATTAAGGGTAATTTTTAACATTATTAATGAACAAAAGAAGATATTACTTTTCATTTGGAAGTGATAAAATTCTACAAAACAATTACTAAACCATTATACTTTATTAATTTATCATATTTTAAAGGCTTGTAGGAAATAGTTTACAGTATGGGAATTCTTTTAGACTCAATATAATACTTTACCTAACTTTTATTTAGTATTCATAGCACAATAAAATAAAGAAATCCAAAGAGTATCTTTGGAGAAAAGACTGTCTTACTTGAATTATATCAGGCTTGGTCTGATTTTGAATGATAACAATTCCTGAATTCAGAAAATTCTATTAAATAGTCCACATGTTAGGCAAGAGTGCAAACTCAACCCTTCAGACACTTTTCTACTGCTGAATGTTGATAAATATTAGCATTATTGTATAAAAATTTAAACATGGCTTCAGGAAAATTAACATTTATGTCATGTTTTATCACCACGCATTTCTCATCTAAAAAGATAGATTATTGTGTGTGTTTGGCTTTTAACAAGCACCCAAAGCAAATTATAGAGATCTTACCTTGGTTGACTGTCTGAATTAGCTAACTCAACTTTGTAAGGCACAATGTCTCCTGGTTCTTCAAGTTCCTCTTCATAAGTCTTAATAAATAATAATATTAATACAATATTAGTATGTTCAGTAATTTTATTTACACATTAGTCAGCTAAGTACAGGTTATATTTGGAGTATTGTTACTCTACAAATTATATACTTAACCCTCTAATTATATCCTGTATCTTGTGAATTTTAGGACTAAGCAAATTTAAATGTTTTTGTTTTGTTGTTGTTATTTGGGGTACCAAGGATTGAACTCGGGAGCACTCGACCACTGAGCCACATCTCCAGCCCTTTTTTATATTTTATTTAGAAACAGGGTCTTACTGAGTTGCTTAGCATCTTGCTTTTTGCTGAGGCTGACTTTGAACTCATGATCCTCCTGCCTCAGCCTCCCAAGCCTCTGAGATTATAGTCATGCACCAACAAGCCGCCTCAACTGTTTTTTATTAAGCTCATTTGAAGTGTCATTCACTTCAACCAACAATAACAACTATTTTTTTTATTATGCAACTAGCAACTTCTAAGTAGATTAGTGGCTAAGAGGTTTTTAGTTTTCTGACTGGCATGTCATAAGCTTATTGTGTACACCAACAATTTAGTAAATAGTATGTGTGTGTGTGTGTGTGTGTGTTTACAATATCTTAAACTTAGTCTGAGGAGAAATTAAAATAGTGTTAGGCAGGAAAGAAAATAATTTAAAAAATAAAACACAAAACTCTCATCCCACTGCCTAAAGAAGAAAGCAGTATTTAAAGAGGTAATGTTTCTTCATTCTATTCATTCATTTTCTGTGCCAACCATAGCAAGAAAATATGAAGAACAAGTGGTATACTCAGCTTCTGGATAACCAGAGATGCCATCATGTTCTAAACCTTCAGTCAGGAGCTATAGCTTTGACTAGCACTGGCTGTATTTGATTCTACTGGTGCATTCCTGAGGTTGTATGCAAGTTGTTATTATGATAAGCCCCTTAAAATTGAAAATAACTTTAAATGACTCTTTAGAAACTACATTTGAACTTAAATTTGGTTAAATACATGCCATGTAACAAAACTGATCTTTGTTTAAATGTCTAATAAACATAAAGAATTAAGCTAACCAAACACCAAACTCCATTATGTAAATTAACATAGTGAAATATTTTCTCACTCCCCATTCTGCAGGCTTAAAAAAAAAAGAAAGAAATGGCATTGCCAATTTAGCTCACAAACTAACTTTCTACATTGAAAACTATACTGTTTCATTTTTATCAGCAAGATTAAATTCAAACACATGTAAACGTCTTTATAAACTCTGCTATAAAAGAAATTTTTTAAAATAATAATGTCAATGTAACTTTATGCTGTGGATTTTGTTTGTTAAGGAATGTGAATGATCATTATGCACTTACATCATCCAACTCTATTATCTTTAGAGAGGATTCAGCTCTCTCTAGGTTTTCTTCTTCCACTGGCAAAAAAAAAGTTGAGTGTTGTACTTCATTCTCTTCAACTAGAAAATAAGATTCGTAAATAATATTATCAAAGAATATATCTCATATGGTAATCTCTTTTTTGAAATAATATTATCAACAATAAAAATACTAGACACACAAAGGCATAAATACTTTCAATTTTCCTAGCTTATGTGAAACAATATTTTCTCAGCATTCAATTTTTAAACATACTATTTAAATGACACCAAAGTGTATCCAGAGAATGGGAAGAAGACAGTGTGTGATTTTGATCTGGAGAGCAAAGGTTACATATAAATGACACCTCAAAGAGAACCAAAAGCAGATACTATAATTAATGTTCACTGTATATCTCATTGAGGCTGAACTGACCATCATCGCTATCTTCATCATTTTCATTCCGAGAGCACTCTGCTTCACTAGAGGTTCCACATGGATGTAGGATTGTATCCGGAAGTGTGTTTTGCTGGTCTTGTGGAGTTCTACAAACAAAAAAGATGTCACTGAAAGATTAAAATGCATCAGTGAAAACATCCCCAGACAAGATGATGACTTTTTTGTCACATGAGTATACAACCATAATGACAAAACCAGAATGGTAATAACCTTTAGTTCATAACCTTTAATTCACAGAAGAAAATTAAGACTGTGTAGCAAAATCTTTTTTTTTCCCCAAGGTTTATATTTCCTTTTATTGGTTTGTAATTTTATTGCGTACATTAGTGGCACAAATACTGCATTCACATTAGCTATTTATATAAACTATTCCTAGTTTTGAGATGAGTAATGTAATATGCTTATTTTTTTACTGTGATGAGAAGCTCTATATCATGAGCATTTTAATAGATTTTAAATGATTATAATCCACTTAATTTTACTACATTTTTTTTGCAATTTTCATTTTCAGGATAGGTCATTGTATTTGTCTATGTACTTTAATGATTTCGTGTTTCCTATCTGACTGTGCTTTAGTGAATGAACACATTTGGTTTCTAGTCAACAATTAGTATAGCTTTAAGAAAACAACTTTAGTTCCAAATGTTGTGAATTCAAATAAGTAATTTTGAAAGGTCTAATTTTTTGTTCTAATTAGTTATACATGACAGTAGAATGCATTTTGACACATCATACATAAATGGAGTACAGATTCTCATTCTTTTAGTTGTACATGATATAGAATCACACCAGTCATGTACACATATATACATATAGGATAACAATGTCCAAATCATTCTACTATCCTTCCTAACCCAATACCCCCTCCCCTCCTTTGGCTCCCCTCTAACCCATAGTACCTCTATTCTTCCCTAGCCCTCACCCCCTTATTATGAATTAGCATCCACATATCAGAGAAAACATTCGGGATTGGCTTATTCTGCTTAGTATATTATTTTCGTGTAGCAAAATCTTAACTTTGTAAGTTGAAAGGACACCACACAGGATTTTTAAATTGCATATCCCACTGTTGTTGTTTTTTTTTGTTCATGATGAAAATTAAAGTTATGATGGAAGTCAGTATTTTCTCAAGAGCCACATGGAGTCCATGAAACATTTCATCCTCTTTACAAAGTTAGTTTACAAGTGTATGTTTTATCTCACAACCTTGGCATTATGTTGATGAGTTCTGAGCAAACAAGAGGGCATTTGTCTAAATTCCCACCACACCTGTAGGCTCCTGTTATACAAATGTGAGGTGCTCTAGCTGTGGCATCTATTACCTAATTAACAACAAGGATTGATGCAGCCCATACCAAATGAATGGAAACGAGGCACAGAAGTCTCAGAGGTCAGGAGTATGGATTCTTTTCTGGAGGATATTCCTAGGTTACTGAGTGAGAGGTCATTTTTTAGCCAAGAATATGAATAGCCAAATAGCACTTTCAGATGATGCAAGTTCATGGGGACCCCATGGAAAAGGCAGGACCAAACCAATGATAATTAGTACCAATACCAAACTTAAAATATACCAGTCTCTGTTCTGATTTTGACACATTAAATTTTAGTAGGTATTATATTAAATAAACACTTGTATTATCTTTATTTCACAGATGATGAAATCAAGACAAATATGGTGATCCCACTGTTGCCAGGGAGTACATATACAGGAGGAATTTGAATGCAAGCAACCTGCTTCCTCATGCCCAAGTTCCTAGCCATATTCATAGCTTTATTGCCTCTTTTTTCAACTTGCAGAGGCACTAAAATTTTTATAATCTTTTGGTAGTCTATGTTCACATGTATTTTCTAATATATGTAATATACCTATAAGATAAATACAAAATATTTATGTTAACTCAGCTTTGTGTTTTAACAGATTCTGTGAGGGTGACGTCTCTTACATTCGTACTAAAGAGTATATAGTAAAGTTAAAGTGGCATCTGATCCCCAGAAACTGCTCTCTAGTTTGATATTAGTCTCCTGAACTAATAACTCATCATACATACACAAAAATATACTGTTATCCTGATACTTTCTCATGAAGTGAAAACTTCTCTAATTCTGAATAACGACCTAAATCAAGGATTTATAGAAACTTTTGATGGATTAGAGCTGAATGGGTCATATAAATTTATTCTGAACTCAATATTTTACAAATGAGAAAACTTGGATCATGGAAATTTAAGTGATTTGTTGCTGAACAAACAACTAGACAGCCAGAGAAGTAAGTCTGAATTCTCAATATTCAGACCATACCGATGATGCATTTTTAAGAAAGTCAGGCCACATAAAGTATGAAATATCCTTCAGAATAGAACTCACCTCACCATATTTTCCAATTTTAAAATTTAGTAAATATTTACTGAGCATTGACCAATTCAGTTAGGTAAACATTTGTGGATCCATTAAGACTGTTTATATCAGAATGACTGGCCAGGGACCTTTTTTTGGTAATGCTGAGTCTCATACCCTCTCTTAAAGACACTGCTTTTTTAGATTCTAGGGCTGGGTCCTAGAATCAGTAGTAAAAACCAAAAATTCTGCATTCTTTCATGAAGGTTTTACAGATTTGAAAATCTATAAGAAACACAAATGGTTATCCTGTTATCACAAATGGTTGTGTTTCTTTCTGTTTTAAGTCTGTGTAATATTCCTGTGTGTGTGTGTGTGCTATTTTCCTTATTCATTCACCATGATGGACACTTGAGTTTTATCCATATCTTGGAGGATAGTAGGATAAGTAATACTATACCTCACTTATATTTTGTTAAAAGAAAAACTGGGATCAATTAAATTTAACAAAGTTAACTTAAGCAAGAAAAAATGTTTATATAACCAGGAAGCATTCTAGATCAAAGATGGTTCAGAATGTACCTTCTATCACATTCTGGTAGAAGTATAACCCTGTTATACTTACAGCCAGAGAAGAAAAAGTGACCTTCAGAAACACCCTGATTAGCTATAGTTAGCATTTACCTGATATGGTAATATTTGGGCAGCTTTCATTCTCTGATTGACTGAGACAGTCACTTTTGTATAAGAGTACATTTTTAGGGTACTGTTAGTTTACTCATCAAGCTAGTGTACAGTTCACTATGTACAATAGCTGGTTTAAGATAAATTTATTTCAGTTCAGCAATGTGGAATCTCAAAAAGTGTAATCATAAAAGCAGAGAGTGGAATGGTGGTTACCAGGGGTGGAGATTTGGGAGACCTGGGGAGACCTGGATCAAAGCATACAAAGTTTCCATTACACAGGATAAGAAAGTTCTGAAGATCTAATACAAACCATAATGAGTATAGTTAATAGTAGATTTTAGGTATTCTCAGCACCCACACAAAAATGATAACTATGTTGAGTGACAAGTATGCTAATTAGCTTGATTGTACAGTGTGTACATATGCCAAAATATCATGGTGTACACTTTAAATATTAACTTTTACTTGCTAATTATACTTCACTAAAACTGAGAAGGGGGATATCTATCATCATGCATGTATTATTTGGATATAAAATTCAAAACTATGCTATTATCCAGGTCAGAAAAGAAATATGAAAACAAAATGCAACAGAACATGTATTTACAAGCCTATTATAAAACATGACAATAGGTAAAAGTAAAGTTGAAACCATGGTTATTGCTATAAAAATGGGAAACTTCTGAAACACATCATCAAAAATGCCCTGTAAACTTGTGAATTCCACATGGACCGCTTACACTGACATCCATAACTAATACCTAAGGCATTTGCTCAAGAATCAATTGGTGTGGTGACATGCACTTATAATCAGACCCAGCTACTCAGAAGGTTGAGGCTAGAGATGCTCTTGAGCTCAGGCATTTGAGACCAGTCTGAACACCATGGTAACAACCCAGATCAAAACAACAACAACAACAACAAGTGAATAACTAAGACCCCAATGGATAGGCTGAATAGGTTCACTAAATGTGCTTTTTTGCTAAGGAAAATGGCCAACATTCAATACTCAGTATATGATATGCCTATGATTAAGGATTCCCATATGTGTCTAAGAAAAAAATAATTGGTCATTTAATAATAAAATTTTGCTTTATTTATTTCATAAAAAAATTCAATATGACCTGATATTACAAGGTAACTACAAAAAAAATAGGTCACTTTGAAATTACTTCTTAGTATTATACTAATTGCTAATCCGGACTATTGAGTATCACATCTGAATAGCTGCTATGAATATCACACTTGAAAATGGTAAAGACAGCCTGAACATTATACATTATACATTATAACATAACTAGGAATAACTAGAATAGTAAATGAATAGATTTAAAAATCTAGCATACAAACCATAACAAGATCAACTATATATCTTAAAATGGTAACCAAAAGAAAACTGAAAATACCAGATGCTGGAAAAAATTGGGGGCAACTGCAACTCTTATACATTTCTATATGAAATGTGAATTACCATTCACATTAGAAAAGTTTACTAGTTTCTCACAAAGATAAACAGGTACTTAACATAGAATCCAGTCATCCCAGTCTCAGGTGTTTATCCAGGGAATTAAAAATATATACCCACAAAAATGTGTATACATATTTATTGAAAAATCTAGTCATAATTACCCCAAACTGGAAGCCAGCAAGTGTTCTTCAACACATGAATAGATAAATTCTGCTAAATCACAATGATGTACAACTACTCCACAATGGAAAGGAACGAACATTGATTTACACAAGAACATAAATGAATTTTAAATGCATTTTACTAAATGAGGTTCACAAAGGTGACATAGTATATGATTTCATTTATATGACCTTTGGAAAAATATAAATTTGTAAGAATGGAAAACAGACCAATGATTGGCAAAGATTGAAGATGAAGGAACTTTGACTCAAAGGAAGAGCATATTGTAATTTGGGAGACGATGGTCTTGCTCAGTTCGTTGTTTTAGTAGGCACCTGACTCTATGCATTGATTTAAAAAAAAATAGTACTATACACTCTAAATTTAATCTATCCAAATTTTAAAAGTCAATCAGAATATTGGCAGACCCAAGGAAAGGCATAAACACCCAAAAGGTGGTAAGAAAGAAATGAGTTTAAGTACTGCTAGGAAACAGCATCCTAATGGACAATGCAGGCTAAAGATGAAAAGCATTCTTCACAAGACTGCATTCAGTAAATTTGTTTCTCACAGTGATATCAACAATTTTGAGTAATAAACTAATTTACATTATACATAATTAAAGCCAGGTTTCTCATTATAGGTAAAAGGAATTTCAAGTAAGTGAAGGAAAAATGATAAATGAACTATGCAATGCTGATTTGAAGTCAGTGGTAGAAGGGTGTGAAGTCAGTCTAGTTTAATAGATATCCAAATAGACAGGTACAGAGATTAATTTAGATGTGTGTGTGTACTTTATTAGTGTGTCCTAGCTTGGAAAGGCCTTTCTCAGAGAAGGTCTAGAATTTGTGACACCTGAGCAGTAATGAGCCCAGAGTCCAGGTCTTGGTTTCTGAACCCATTCTCCAATAAAAGGAATGACAGTTCTTTGGATAAGTGGCTCCTGGGCTATGACAGGAAAATCAAGTGCCAGAAAAAGAAAGAGATACTCAAATCAAATTAACCAAGAACAAACAAGAAAGAATGAGGTCATGTCTAAAGGATAGAGGAATAGACTTGAGAGAACCCTTAATGTCCAAAGTAGAAATAATTGGAGTCACAAAATAAATAAAAACTGTATTAGATATAAATCTACAAAACAAGTACCATGACTAGAACTCCTATGGAGAACATTCTGTGAAACAAATGGCAAGTACTCTTCAAATGAATCAAGGTCACAAAAGACAGGGAACACTGGGAAAGACGGGGAAGCATGGAGTTGATCAGCACACCTCTGCTGCATTCTAGAGAGGATATGCATAAGAGGATATGACAGAAAGTAAAATGTAAGCACTGTGATTTGATACGAGAGCAGGATCAGTGAAGATAAGAATAAAAAACAAATAAAATCTATACTGTACTCAATTATATTGCACCAATGTTTATTTATTCGTTTTGATAAATTCACATGGTTATGTAAGATGTGTTACCATTAAGGAAGTTAAATGAAAGATAGCTAAGATGTACTATATACTTCATCTGTATGTCTTAATTCAAAATTAAAAGAGGAGACATCTGCAACATTAGAAAGAATTAAAGGGTAAGTGTGTTACAAATATCACTCTATTAATGGAAGACTAATTTAAGTCTGCAAAAATACAAAATAGGGCTGACGTATGTGACTCAGTGGTTGAGTGTCCCTAAATTCAGTTCCCAGTATAGAAAGAAAGAGAGAGAGAGAGAGAGAGAAGAGAAGAGAAGAGAGGAGAGAGAGAGAGAAAGAAAGAAAGAAAGAAAGAAAGAAAGAAAGAAAGAAAGAAAGAAAGAAAGAAAGAAAGAAAGAAAGAAAGGTAACAAAACTAGCTGGAGACAGATTATGACTCACTAGGAAATATAACAGGCAGAATATTCCAAATACAGGCAACTGTGTTTGAAGGTGAAGCATGGAGTTGATCAGCACACCTCTGCTGCATTCTAGAGAGCTCCTCCATCACCTTGCTCCTCAAAATGTGGCCTAGATACCCACGTCATCCAAATCAGCATCATTTGGGAGCAAGCAGAAATTCAGAAGTGCAGAATCTCAGGCCCCACCTTCAGACCTACTAAAGAAGAATTTCTATTTTCTCACCGTGTCTGGGAAATTGGTACGAACAATGAAGTGTGAATAGCTCTGTTCTAGGGAAAATGACCTTGCAACCTTTAAATGAACCTCCAAAATCTGACGATCTTTATATGATGGCAAAATTACAAGTGACTATAACATGCACTCATTCATCATTTTGGTTTAACATTTTAATAGTTTAATTTTTAAACAATTTATGAAATGGTGTATTTGAAAATAGTCTTTGAATTAAATGCCTTTGGTTAATATTAATAAAATTATAGAATTAAAGTCCAAATAACTTTATAGCGTACTCTGAAAAGAGCTTCAGATATTTATGCTAATGTTAAAAAAAAAACCTAACAGCAACATCTTTTCAAAGTAATCTTGTACTTACTGCACTACTTATTATTATTGCTATTATTCTTAAACTCTATGCTGTATTTGTGCCTTTTTCACAAATATGCATTTCCATTTCTCAAGGCAAATTCTAAATAAAAAATTCATTATATACATACATATAAAAGAATTTTTATTGGAACAGTAGAAACTTCATTGTGATCTAATATTATTTTAAAATTATTTATGCAAATATAAAACATACATATAAAATTTCTACAGAAAGACATGTAACAAGCAAAAAACATAAATAACCTTTGTATATCTTAATAGCAATATTAAAAATTTAGAAAATACCTCCTGTGCTTTTTGAGCCATAATTTTTCCATATAGGATAGACTATCTTCTTTAAATTCAATATTAAGTGGTTCTCTCCAAATTTTTAGAGTAGTTTGTACTTCACATTCTTCCAATGAATCTACAAAAATAAAAGCAATGTGCATAATTAATGCAACCAAATTTATAAATCACTATATCTTTCCCTCTCTTAGGATGCAAATTCATCATTTTTAGTCTAATCTGCTTTGATATTTATCTACATAGTCAATAGTTTAAGGCATATGGTGTGAAAGTGTTAAACATTGTTGATTTAAAAAATGACTGTACAGGGGCTGGGGATGTGGCTCAAGCAGTAGCGCTCTCGCCTGGCATGCGTGCAGCCTGGGTTCGATCCTCAGCACCACATACAAATGAAGATGTTGTGTCTACCGAAAAAACTAGAAATAAATATTGAAAGATTCTCTCTCTCTCTCTCTCTCTCTCTCTCTCTCTCTCTCTCTCTCTCTCTTTAAAAAAAAAAAAAAAATGACTGTACAGACCATTTTCTTCAATAATCCCTTAAAATGAAAGAATCTTGATCACAAGACTTTTAAAAGAAACTAACTCTTTAAAATGAGGCAGATAAACACAGATACATTGTACATTCTACACACACTAAATGTATTATACTCACTGTCAATAATATTTACACATTATGAGAAATAGGAAATAAATAATTCACAACGACACCTGGAGGAGACAACCGTCCTCGTGAATTTATTCTACACAGTAATTTACTTTCAGATGCTTAACTTATTTCTGAAGTTGTACTAAACCAAAAATTACTATTCAGAGCTTTTGAAAACTGAAGAAGTTTTCTGGGGATGAAAATGGTGTAGAAGTCCAAGATTACTGGTCTCTCCATCCTCCTAGAGATTGCCTCTCTCCAGGCTTGAATGTTATATGGGGTAAAACGTAGGAAGAGAAGAAAGGAAAATAGTAAGATGGAAGAAAATATATTTCTAAATATATTTCTTCTAAAACTAGAAGGTAGTCCCAATCTCATACTATTGATTATAATGATTAGTTTCCAGAAATAGCCAAATGCCAGCAATAGAAATAGACCAAAAGAATGTAAGCTACCCAAATTCTACTTTTTTTTCCCAAGGAGTACAGCAGTGTTAAAGAAACCCATGAAGGAAGTTCTGAAAAACACCAATCAGAATCCATCAAACTTAAAGAGCAAGAGTTAAGAAGAATATGAGCCAGTCAGGGGAAAGGAGATGCCTCGCTGTGAGGCCCCGTTTCCATGGTAAAGCAAAAGGATTTTTGGCCTGAGAGCCGAAAGAAAAAGAAAGCAAGACAGAGAGGTGGGGAGTGAAAGAAGAAAGAAAGGGAGGGAATAAGCTTTTGAAATGAAATCGAGCTAGAAATCAATAACACAAAAACTTGGATATTTAAAGCTCACTACTAAGTTGAATAGCGAAGGAACACATAAAAAGATGCACAGTGTCATCTATAGTGAGAGCTACACAAATGAAGCATACAATATTGTCTCTATCAGATTGGCAAAAATGTTTTAACCCAGCAACTTCCCATGTTGTTGATAATGGAAAGTGATCAAAACATTTCAGGTGGGAGCACAATACTTTGCAAAATAATTCAGCTTTAGCTGTAGCAAAGTGGCGGGCATGCACAGTGATGGCCCCATTATTTTCCTCCCAGGGATGGACATCCCTAGATGTCTGTGAAGAGAAGAACTGTGCAAGAAAATTCATAACAGAACCATTTGTCCTGGAAAAAAACAGGAAAAGTCCCAAATAATCATCAACATTCAAACAGGAAACAGCACTGTATATTCATGTCATGGTACACACTAAAGCAGTGAAAATGAAAGAAATACAACTATGCACATCGTCATGGTAGATAATCTCAGTAGCACAAGATTGAGTGAAATAAGAAAATCAAAAGAACACTTACACCATAATTCCTTTTACCTAATGTTCAAAGATAGGCAAGATTAACATATTTGTAATTAACTTCTGGGGAGTGAAAGCAATCAGAAATCACAAAACTCATGTTAGTGATGACATTAGAAAAGAAGGAAGAGGAGGGGAAAGAAAAGGGTAGTCCAGGGGAATGATCATGGTTTTTTAAGCTAGTGGAAGATTCACAGGCAGTTACAATTTTTTGTTCATCAACTATAAATTTTATGTAGGCTCTTTTTTATCTATTTGATATATAAAACCTATCATGAGAAGAAAAACATCTACATATGCACACAACACATACACTCTTATCATCAATCACATATACATAATAATCTGGGGCCAAAAAATATATATATTAACCAATATGATTCTACAACCTGTACTCTCAGAAAAATGAGAAATTATATCCCATCTGATTCAGATATGTCAAGGTCATTGTACTGTCATGTGTAACTAATTAAAACAAAAAATAATACAAAAAATATTGTGTCAAAACAAGCCCTCATCTTGATTTCTCCACAGAAATCATACTGCTGATCTCATTTCCTTAGAGAAGGCATTATCCTTCACTGGTTTTTCTAAGACATACCAGTCTTCCTCCTACATGTGCACCATGCTTCTTCTTCTTTGAGGGTTTGTCTTTCTCTCCCAGGCCCCTGTTGCAATTCCTGAGTCTTATGCTACTATACTCTCCCTTCCTCTCTAAGGTCAGCTGTGCACACTTTCCTTCAGCTCCATGAGCACCACATACTCCATCACATTCCCTTGTCCAACCTATTTTCTATCCCCATTTTTTCAGCCCATTTTCTAGGTCATAACTCAATTTTTTGGTCTCTTAGAAAGTATTTTTATATCCATTTGTACCAGGACTGGAGCATGGCTAGAAAAAGAATACTTAAAAGGGTCATTTAGAGGATCAAATGAAGGTACCAACTTACAATTAAGTGGTAAAGTTAAGGGAATAAGTGATATTGAAACTCATTTGCTAAAAATAGTGGAGAGCTGGTATCGACTCTAGGTTTGAAGAGAAAGAAAAAGAGAACCATTAGGAAACAAACAAACACTGAAAGCAATGACTGTGTAAAAGACCATCTGAGAAGTGTTTTTAAGGACAGGATGTAACCACTATAAAGCCACAGCACACCCACAAGAGGGTGAACCAATACTTCCCCTTCTCTGTTCCCACCCTCCAATATCCTCTTAATGTCTCCAATTGGCCAAACCCAACTGGCAGCCAGAGAGCAAGGTCACCTTCTGGAGCACAGAGTAAAGCAGGAAAGGCCAAGAATGGATTTTGAGGGAATTTTTCAGAATGGCCACATAGTCTATATCTTTTCCATTTAAGCATACATTTGTCTCTCCACAATTTTTTTAAAAGAAAAATATCCATTGAAACCTAGAGAAAACAAGTTCTATAACTATTGGGCATCATAAGGAGATCTCAATTTAGTTAATGCTCCTAACCAAATCCTACATTATGTTTGGCACCACTAATATACTTTATATAAGTAGCAAGAAAAGGGGTGATGAAAAAGACAATTATTCAACACAATACTGAGCTGCTATGGTCTCCATTTTTGTAGGTGATTTTGAAGACCAAATTGATTTAATTATAATAGCTTTCTTCCTCCATCACCTTTTCCAAGTTCATCTTACTATTTTAAAGCTTGGTATAATAACCCAAGTATTTATTCTCAAAGGACACAAGGCCATATAAGCCCTCTCTTCACTGGGTTTCCAGTTTCCCGTTGAACCTTCTTATTGTACATAGAACCCTAATCCATGCCACAGCGAACTCCTGGGTTCCAGGTACAGTCCATTTTCTCTTGGTTGTGTAGCAGCAGCACAGTGGTTTCTTTGGTAATTGTGCTCAACAGACAAGCCCTATATAGTGACCCTGTTAGTGACCAGTATAGTGATTTTTAATTCAGTGATGATTAGGCCCAAAGACCAGGAGTAGTCTCAGCTTCTGATTTAATAGAAGCATGATGAGATTTATGGAATATACACCCCCTATAGGAAAACCTACCCGACCTCATGAGATATGGTCTCCCAGCCAGAACTATAATGAAACTTCAATAGGCCATTCCATGAAACTATCAAGCCAGCTGATTCTGAATAATGTGACACTGGCAAGTTCATGGGTATTAACTAGAACTCTTATAATAGAATGAGTCCCATGGTCTGAGGCAATGTTGTATGGGGATACCATGGTGATAAAGAAGCCTCCTGTTGATAGACACATTGTAATCAGAGAAAGCAAATCCATATCTAAAATATGCAGTTTTCACATGAGGACAAATCACTGACCTGTCATGACTGATCATCCTATAACAGACACTTCCTACTCAATAGCTCCTCTTAGCACCATGCCACCAATCCAACATGCAAGCATCATCTGTGTGCACTATCAAGGACTTTTCAGACTACATAATGCTAGAAAGCAGGAGAGTTATATGGGTGGGAGTGAGATTCAAAGGACGTACTGTTACCTCTGCCACATGGGAAAAAAATTTTATTTCTGATTATCTATTTAGTTATAAATAGAAAACAATACATTTACTAGGTCAGGAATCAGCAAACGAGACCCTACTGTTTTCTTGTAGCAAAATGTCTGTGTTCATAAATAGAGTTTGACTGGAACACAGCCACACTTGTTCATTCATGCATTACTTAGCTACTCAATGGCAAGGTTGAGTAGCTAAGTAACTGACTGCCCTGCTCACAGGAAGAGTTTATGCTCTGAGGAAGTTCAGTGGCTGTTCCCCTGTCAGAGAATATGCTGTTTTTCTCCAGTAAAGGCACAGAATCCAAAAAGCAATTGTGATTGGTATTCTCATCATCTGACCAAGTTGGCATTTACCCAAACCATTGGCTTTTGCACCAAGTAAGTAAATTACATGTGAAAAATTGCTATAAAGCAGAATTTATGCATCTTCCAAATATTTGATGATGACATTAAACTCTGCAATTCCCAGAAACCTAGTATTGCTTCAGGAATGTAGTATGGAATATTGGGGTGGGGAAGAGATTCTAGGATTTTCTACTTATATACTACTATAACAATCTTCAAGCCACAGGTCAATGTAGGGATTCTTTCCATTACTATCCACCCACAATATATATTTAGTTCTAGAAAAATAGCTATATAATAGGTTCATACTCCTAACATATCCTCTATGAGACAGAATCAGGATAAAACTCCTCTACCACCTCATCTTCTTAAGCCTTCAACACCAACAGGTGGACTATGGTAGCACTTAGGTCCTCAGGAGAAACTGTCAATTCAAAATGATCCCTTTGATTTTCTGTGCATTACCTTTCTTTACTGCACACTAATCCTGGGTAAGTAGCCATAAGTTCAACTAGTGGGATCTTAGAGTAAGATACAGAGCATACATTATGGCTACATTTCAGGCTACCTTAGGGACCCAGCTTCTTCCTCAGTTAAGGGGTTCCAGATCTGTGGACTGGTTTAGGTCTGGTGGCATCATAAAATTGAACTAATATGGTGACCCAAGTTAGATCTCTGCATATCAGAAAGAAATTTTCTTCTTTACAGGTAAAACTGTAGGCTATATGACTTTTCCATTTTAACATGCCCCAATTGGCAACTGAAATCTCTTTGAATTGAAATATTCTAATAATTACTGTTTGCTGCCCAATGTTTTGATAATTTTCCAGCAGAATTTTCATAACTATATGACAACACATGGTCTCTACCATTTTCCATGTTTCCATTATGTCTTTGCAACCAGGCAACACAATTCCATAGAAGCATACCCCCCCCCACTCATCTTCAGCCTGCGGAGGCAAGCCACAGCAAACTTTCCTAGGGGATCATGGTGCTTACTGACCTCTTAATTGAAAGATGGTCCCATCATTTTCATTAGGTTTAGTTAAGGGACACCTGAGTAGGTTGCACATTATCAACTGCAACATTCCATCTCCCAGAGCCAATTCCATCTCCCTTCCCCTACCCAAATCTCTATTGTAAAATCAAGTCCAGACTTCAACTGACCAAACTGGTAGATTATCAATGCTACTCCTTAAGTGCCAATATATTAAACCCAAATCCTGTTTAAGCACATCTATATTTGATAAATCCAACCTGATAAAATCATACTTTTTATCATTTACAGAAGTTGTGCTTCTTTCACTCAGTGAAGGCAATGGCAGAGCACTTCTCCTTCCAAGTTATGCTGATCATTTGATGGATTCTTTGACTTCCCTGTATGCCATACGTTCCAGAATAGGAAATGACTGAGTGTGGATACTACTTTTCCCCAAGTACATGGTATGTACTCAATATTTGCTCTAAAATTTAAAACATTACTGTACTCAAAATAATAAAAACAAAGAATACTCAAAGGCAATAAAAAACACAAAGAATACTCAAAAGTAATTTAAAAAACAAAGAATAAAAAAATAGTTATTGACAAAAAATGACTAATAATTATTTCACAAATGATGATGGGAGCCAGGGAAATGATCACCTATTGTCTATCAAACTGAATAAAGTTAAAGAATTCAAAAATACAGAGAAAGAGATACCCATATACTCTCAGTGAGACTATAACTTAACAGTAATCTTTTAGAGGATAATATGACAAGAATTGTCAAAATTTAATAAAACAGGTGGCCACTGAAATGACATTTCTACATTTACAAATTTATTTTAAGTAATTTTGTAAGTGCACAAATAGCTAAGATGGCCATCATAACTTCTTTTATAATACTGAGAGAAAAAATATTTATCAGCAAAGACTGGATAAATCATGACATATAAAGTATTATGCAATAGTTATGAATGATGATGAGTATCTCTATGAAGTTACCTATGACATAATCACTAATTGTGATATAACTTCATGGCAAGCTAACTAATAATATATATAGTTAACCCATATTTTTTCTCCTGAGTGTGTGCATGTGTATGTGTGCACAACTGTGTCTATTAAAAAATTATGTGCCCACAGTTATTTTTGATTCTCTGTGGGTAGAGGAGGATTGAGCTAATTTCATTTAGTTTTGGTAAATTTTTGTTATAATCAAATTTTTGAAATTAATTATTGTATTATTTTAATCATGCAGTTATTTCCATTATGAAAATAAACATTTGTACATGGTTTTGCTTCTGATCTGGGAATTTTTCAACTCCATCCTGGTGTTATTTTAAACACTATATCTTTCAATAAATAAAAAGGTATTTCTATTTACACAAATAAAGCACAAAATTAACATGCTCAAGAGAATCAAGGTACATACTACTAAGAAGAAAGCATACAAATGATGTCTTAAAATAGTAATTAAATTGAGGAAATGTAGAAAAAAAATGTTTGAAGGGGAGAGCATTAGTGAAAACTCCAATCATGAGTGAGAAAATGGTGTGTGATGCTTGGGAATTAGGAATTTACATTACAGAATAAAGGGGAATAATCAGGAAAAGAATGAAATACAAATAGTAAACTGAATGTCTCTATCAAGAAAGATATAGGAGTGAAATTTATTGCCTAACATTTTACATTCAATGAAAAATTCAGCTATCAGATACTGCAAAATTCTGAGTAATAAATTAATCAATTGAATATTTAAGCATATGATTTTTATTAAGTGGCATTGAAAAACTCAAAGCAGAGCTACTATATGCTTCATTCATATAAATCTCTAATGTCTAGGATGTGGAATTGGAGACCATTAAGAAAACATAAAAACAATATAGTTCTTCAAAAAGAAAAAAAAATCAAACTTTTCCCCCTAAGTTTACAATCGATCTAGTACTCATATTTTTTGATATACATATAAAAATTCTTCTCTATTTTACAGATTCTTCCATTTTACATGTAGCAACTGTAGTTGAAAAATGGAATAGTTGTCCTAAAAACAATATCCTGCTAGGAGATAAAAAGCTGAAAGAATCCAATACTCCATTCATTTGACAGTCTGAGTTTACACAGAAAACACATGCAAATCACCTCCAGTGCCCAATTCAGAGTCTATAAATAGCTAAGCACTCACCAATGATCGTACAATGCATATTCCCTTGAAGAATTATAGCAAACTCCTTTGTTTATAGATTTTAAACATTGCTTTTTTATTCACAAAGAATGGAGATGAAGTCATCTTTATTTTTGAATATGCATGTCATAATAATAGCCGTACCTGGTTTTGCTGCATTTAAATTCTGTCTTGTCTTATCATCAGGATCTCCAGTTCTCCATTGACTTAACACTTCCTGAAAGGACTGGGCAGAAGCTTCTTCATCGAATGACCCTTCACACAAGAGCCTATCTCTCGGATTTGTGCACTCAGCTCTTTTTGTTGTAATTTCTACCTAAACCAATTAAAAATGAATCCAAGGTTGCTTTATTAAATTTCCTTAATCTTAAAAGACAGGTAATACTAATTATTACTCAATAAGACGTTTTAACTGGGGACAAAATGGTTTTAAGTCATGCTTATTTATTAGTCTTATTGCTATTCTTAAGCTCTGTTAGCAATTATAAAAGTTCTCTTCTGAAATTATTGAAACAAAAACCTGCAGACTCTATGACTTGTCATTATTATGCCCCATTTGCCATTGCCCTCCCTCCCAATCTGCAACAGCCTTGTGTGACTTCTCCAATCTCCTGCTCCCTGCAACCTTCCCACATCAAAAAGAGCAGGCTTGTTTGCAAATTTGTTTGCTTGGGTGTAAATTCGATCACATCACTCCTGGGCTCAAACCCTTCTGTTGACTTTCTATGCATAAGGCCCTACATGACCTTGGACTTCCCTGCTTTGCATTTCACCTCCTCGTGTTCTTCTTTCATACTGCTCCAGCTAACCTCTTCTTGCAGTCCTGGGAAAGTAGGAATGAGACTCCTCCACATCTCCACACAGGCTTTCCCCTCACTTCCTTTCAGTTTGCTCAAATATCACCCTCAGAGAGTTCTTCCCTGATGATTCCCAAATAATGACTATCTTCCCCCCTCACTTCATAATGCTTAACTGTTTTAATTTTCTCCTCACAACTTATCTGTGTGTGAATTCATTCTACATGTTTAGTGCTTATCTCTCTTCATTAGAATATAATCAGACTGAGGATTTTGTCTTCTCGGTGTCAAGGGTATGGTACCTGGAAATAAATAGGTGCTCATTAAAAGTTAATGAAATGAATAAATAAGTTCATCACCGTATATGAAACACTGTGTGCTTCTCAGCTTAATGATGGTAGGGAGATTAATTCAGTATAAAACACAGATCTACTCTGAACACAGAAGAAATGAAAGTATAATTTCGCAGTTATCTAGTGAGCTGAAAAAAAAATAGCCAAATTAGGAAATTTAAGCAAAATAAAATCCACAAAACAGCTGAATTACCAAATACAGATTGCCCACGCTAATCAAATTGTTAAATCTCCATTGTTCATCTTTTATACACAAAAGTGGAAATCTCTATTTTCAACCCTTAATTGAAAAACAAGCACGCAAACTATTGGAGTACAACTGAAAGTATATTATTAAAGATGTTCACAAAAACTTTTAAATATAAGCAAAAATCATCTGAGAATCCATCAGACACTAGACACTATACCACAAAAACACAAGTTAATAAGTCCACAATAGAAATAGGTGCAAGGGTAAAGAATAAATTAGAGGAAGTGACGTCTGAACTGGGTTTCCAAAAATAAAATAAGAATTACGTTATCAAAGACTCAAGGGCAGTATTTCAGAAAGAGGAAAAGGTATATATGCAAAGAAATGGATTCAAACAGCATTGTGGCATAGAACTGGAAGTAGTTTGTGTTGATATGGCAAAAATGGAGGATGAGAAAAAATATCAAGGGTAGAAATATGAGCAGGAGCAGATCATGAAAATCCTTCCTACAGTACAAACTTGGACTTAAATGTGTTACACATGTAAAATCATAGAAAAGCTCCACACAGTAGTGTAGGAAAGAGAACTGGGGAATAGTGAGTTTGGATGCAGGGAAACCATTTAAAATGTTACAGCCATGTGGTCATATCAATGAACATTATAACTGCAGAAACCTCTTTACCAAGGAATATAAGGACTTTATCATATTGACATATGCATACAAGCAAAAAAAAATTTTCGAAATTGTATTTTATATTTTAGGTTGTACTGGGAAAAAATGAAATACAATAAATGTTGATCAGTGGAAGATGGATTTTAGAATGTCATTTCACATCCAATAAATGAAGCATTTTATGGCTACTATATAAAATAAGAAAGCAATAGAAATATTTATATGCATACAAAGCTATACTGTTAAATGAATAAAAACACGTTTGTAAAACTTTTGTTCTTTTAGAAAAAGCTAATTTCAGTATCTGTAATGGCAACAAATAGTTTTTAGAGGGCAGACATCTGCAAGCCAGGAAGAAAGTCCTTACCAGGACTACCAGAACTGTAAGAAAACAAATTTGTTGCATAAGTCATTCAGCCTGCGATATTTTTATATCATCCTGAATAGACTACAATAGTAACTGATTGGATATATAAGGAAAAAGAGAAAGGACTGCTGAATATCATTTCTTTTTTACCTTAGAAATCTAGATATGGTACCATGAATTAGTAACATCTATAGATTTGCCAATAAAGGGTATGAGTTTAGTCTGGAGATACTGAGTTTCAGGAATCTGTGGGAAGGTGCTTATAGGTACCCAATAAACAATCTATTAGTCTGCTGCTCTAATAAAGAGTCCCTGAAGACCCAGTGGCTTGATATGAAATGGTTTGAGTATGTAGTGATTCTTGTGGCTCTCCAGAGCAGCTCCCTCCCAAGCAATGAATAAGATATTTAAGATATCAGAAATGTAAGACAATGAATCAATAAATTAATTGCATCTCTGAGCTATGTCACTAGAATACCTGTCTTCCACATAGCAGGAGCTTTGTACATGGGCTCTTCAATGCTTCAGCTTAGAACTGTCCTACATCACTTCCACTGAGACCCTGCCCAATTCTAAAAGGCTAGGAAATTTGAAGGAACAAATGGATATCCAATGCTATACATTCATTTCAGCAAGGTATTTCTGTAATATATTTTAATATTCCCACATTTCAGAAGAGAAAACAAAGGATCAAAATAAGCTAAATAAATTGCCCAATATTTAAAATCTAAAAGAAAACTAGCATCAGTATCTTGAACTCAGATTTCAGCCTCTAAAATGTATTTCATGAGGTCATCCCTTTCCAAATATACACCATTGACTTGAATCCATTTAGAAAGCTATGAAACAGCAGACCTTGGCAACAGTTTGATTCTTCCAGCCATTAGAATTGCTTAGGAGTGCTAATTAAAAATCAGATTACTGATCCCTAACCCATAAGTAATAAATTAATAAAAACTGGGGCAGCAGATCAAAAAAAAATGCACATTTTTTTTTAACAAACTCATGCAATGTTCCTGATGCTTACTACAATTTGAGAACACTGCTCTTCAGCAAAAAAGAAATGTTAAGCCTCAGAGAGGGTTATCTTTCAGTGTAAGTGTTGTACACAGGTGCACACCTGAATGTCTTTAGCAGCAGCTTCCAATGAATCATGCTCACCAGATAACTGAGGAGCTACTAGGACAACACATAGGACTCTACCCACAAAATGCTGAACTCAGCCATGTGTATTTCTTTAATGTTTTTCCAGTTGATTTTATTATACACCCCTGGGGGTGTGTGGGAAAACACTGAATTGATGGTCAATAAGCTAAGACAAGAGGCAGTGAGTCTGTATGGCATATATAATTACCTATGGAAACATGAAGCAACATTTACCATAATGATTATGAACACAAAGGAGTCCACTCCCCAGCTTTCTTATAGACCTAGTTACTTAACCTGTCTCTAAAATTTATCCTCTGATGAACAGAGGTAATATTATCACAGAAGAGATACGGCGATTCTGATGATTACAGAAGATAAGGCAGGTAAAGCATTAAGTAACCTGCCTAACACAAAGTGATCAAAAAATGTTAGCTGCTGACTTAACTGTCACTATTGTTCTTGATAGGAAAAATTAAATAAAATGGCAAGAACAAAGGAGAAACTCTTTAAACTATAGCCTCTATGGAGTGATTGAAAACAGGTAATTCGGAGTCAGAAGCTCTGAGCTGAAACCTGAGTTCCCCTTATCAGTGATACCTGGGGCAAGTTATAAAACTTCTTCTTTGCCACTATCTTTCTATTTGAAAAAGGGAATAATTACAAAAAGGCAAAAATATATGATATATATAAGGTATTTAGGGCAGCATCTAGTCTACAATACAATATTATTATTAGATTGTAACTCATTCAGTGATTCTCTAACAAATATCCTTGGCAGTTCTATCAGAAAGCAAAATCTATGGAAACACCCAATTTTCTCGGAAAATTCAAGAATAGTTCCCCTGATAGAAATGGTCCTACCAGCACAGAGTGCATTTCCTCTTATATTCTATGAACATGCATTTGAAATTTCACAGACTTAAGTTCAACACAGACCTGGTTATCAAATCACAAACTGTGCGACTGGCCAAGTTAGTTTCTGCACTATAGGAAAGGAGTGAGTGACATCTAAAAGAAGGAGTCTTATATAACACAGATCAAAATTTGAAGTGTGTTTCTTGCTAAAGAGTCAATAAAATCTATTATAAAAATGTAGACAGGAGTTGATAAAAACTTGCCTAGTATATCATAGGATCCATAGTCCTTCTGAGTAACTGTGAGAATTGGCATAAATCTAGTTTTCGATAACTAAAATTGCCTGACACCTAAAGTGCTTGGCAAGGTTTTATGTTGTTAGCCTCTCTGAAATCCTGACTAATATAAAATTGTTATACTGCATTGTGGTTTTTGTTTTCTCCAAATACACATTCAATTCCTAATATGGTAGAAATGTTTGGATCAATTTCCAAAATGAATCCAAGAAATATCCTTGAGAATGTTTTTATAGTCAAGATACATTTAATTAATTAAAAGCAAAACCATATTAAATAACAATGTGATATAATCTCCAAAACTCCACAACTCTAGTTAATATATGAGTGGCAGTCTCCATGGTTATGTGGGACAAAAATGTCCCATTATCTTTTCTTTGGCTTACCTCAGAGTTGCTCCCCTGCAGGACTAGAGACTTGGATTTCTGATGACTTTTACTCGTGTCTTTTATAGAATTATTTCCCACTTTGGGTTCATCTGGATTAACTTCCTTTATAAATCGATGAGCAACATCCAATACACTGGATAATATCTGAGATTTTGCCTATTTAAAAAGGAACAAAATATGACTTAAAGAGACTAATATGTCAGCATAAGTAACTTTTTAACACTAAATCAAAATTTCTGCATTATGATTCATAATACCCAGTAAGTTTTAATTAATATTTTAAAAGACAAACTGACATTTTTAGCAATCATTATAATAGTGACAGCTGCCATATACTGAGGGTGCGGATGTGGACTTATCCTATTCTAAGCATTTTTAAAACTATATTATTTAATCCTTGAGGCAACTCTACACCATAACTATTTTTATCTATTTTAGGGACAAAGAAACTAGAGCTCAGAGAGTTTTAATAACCAGCCCTTGGTCACATGGTGAGTGGGTGGCAGAGCTGGGAAATGACCCCAGGTGTGTATAATTCTAATGACTCATAGCCTTTCCACTTTGCCAATCCCAAATAGATAAGGTGTGTTATTTTGTGCATATCGCAGCTAGAGAACTAAATATATCTTATCTAGTAGGAGCCTGAATAAGCAGTAATGAGTCTTCCTTGGTGATAAAATATCTTTAGAAATTATACACTATTCAAAAGTGCACATCAAGAAGTGCCTCTATCTGCAGTTTCCTAGTTAACTCCAAATTGATCCTCATTTCGTGCCTCTGCTCATGAGGTTCACTTACAGGAAAGCTTTCTCTCCTCTATCCTCATCTTTGCCTGGAAGACTCCTACTTCTCCTTCTGGAATCATTTCAAGTTACTCCCACAGGTCTAGGAACACTTCCCTGAATGTTCCTCCTCCCCAGTTATAGGTTTCCACCCTCATTATAGCTTTAAATCCCTGAACAGCTCTGTACCAACCCTCATGATGTGCCTTTCCATCATCTTTTGGTATGTCACACCATATAAGTTCATATGTTTTTAAAACTTTATATGGGTATCACAAAATAGTAAAAAGTATAGTGTGGACAGAGGGAGAAGAGCTATAGAATTAAAAACAAATAATTGAGAAAATAAATTTAAAAAAAAAAAAAAAAACTTTGGGCATGCTTCCAGAGAGGCTGACCAGGAAAAGGAAATTCTTGGGAAGGTCTTTTTCTCTGAAAGGTCTCCTCTCGGCAATTATGCTAGTCTGCTAGAGGACTCTGTAGACCTCCAGACCCCTTCTGATCTCAAACTAAATTCCCAAGGGAAGATTGAGGCTGTTCCGAGTCTCTAAGAGAACCTGGCATTAGGAAGACAAGAAATACATCTTACTTCTTAGCAAATGTCTGCAAGGCAGGGGAAAAATTCATCAGGGATCAGAAATAATTATTTTGTACTCTCCCATAGAAATACTCTTAAAATTTTCATCTAATTATCAATTTAAATAGCTACAATTATACTGAAACTATCCAGTTATAACCTTCTGTAACTCTATTAGGATTCATGCCATCTAATTCTGGAATAAATTTGGTGAACATCAAATTAACTAGTGTTATTTCACACTGAATTAATGAATTATCTATGAAAATCTGACAAATTTGACCTATTCACATATACTGGTCTCAGTAATGTGGTATTTGCTCAAAAATGTTCCAGTGATTATCAAAAAAAAAATATATAGATCTATATAGTTCTCATTTTTAACAGAATTTCAATCCAGTGCTAATGCTCCAGGCTTCCAGAAATATCTACATATTAACCAATATTTTAAAACACAGTAATCCATATAAGCCTAATTTTAAATTGCCTAAAATAAAGATCTGTCTATTTCAAAAATATTTAAGATGTCTAATTTTCATTATTTATAAAACAAAAAGCAATAGTATTAATGTTACATAAAATTACTAAGATAAAATTATCAAATATATATTTTTAAATAACACAAACCAAAAGATTGGTCCTGTCTTAGAATCCTGCTCTCAATACTCTAATAATTTTTAGGTAACATGTTAAAAAACTCAGAAATAGCAAAAGCTTTTAAGTCAGTTCTCTTGCTGAAAAGAGGATAAACATATGGGTAATCGGTAAAATTTAATTTTATATCTGAATATCTGAAAGTCTTATAATTTAGCAAATAACTAAAAAAAATAAAATCCAGTTAATGGGAATATTCTTTCCTAGAACATCATATACATTTAAATGTAATTTTCTCCTTTGAAGACTGTGTATGCATACTTTTTTCTCTTAATTTAAAAATATTCATACAAGGAGAGGGGGCTGACATTTATGATCCCTATTAAATACACAAGGACTGGGAAGTTCAGAAGACCTAGGTCAATGTCAAATGGCTGCAGAATCTTGGGGCTTAAATTAGAATAAATCTTCTTCTAACCTAACTTTTTCTTTAGCATTCTCATTAACCTTCATGACACAGAAAAATGTAGTTTACCTTTGGTTTCCTGAAACCAGACATGTTACATTTTTTGTCTAACAGATTTAAACATTGTTCAGTACTTTAAAAAATAAAACTTCATAAAGCTGTTATTCTGTATGTGATAGCCTATGCAAAAATTAGACAGTTTGGGTTCTTCTTTTTAATTTATTTTCACCTGTCCATTTTTATATTTGACCAGATACAAAAAAATAAATTATAGTCCCCCATATTAAAATGTAGGAAATAGATGTTGCTCCCAATTTATAAAAGGTAATTCCCATGGAGAATTACTGTCAGCCATTGGGGACACTGTCCCAAAAGTTTTTGTCTCTATTTAAAAGGACACATACAAATTTACAACACAAAACACAATACCTTTCACTCAATAATATAACTATCATTTTAAGTAATAAGTAACCAATGAACAAGAATGTAAAGATGTTATTGCAATATTTAAAATAGATAAAAGACTATATTAAGTATAACACAATGCCATTTATTAACAAAATGCTTTTGAATTTTAAAACTCAACTCAAAAACATTTTTCTTCTCATCTTCTAAATGTGAAAATTTAAATATAGCAATACTACTAGGCAGCAATAGGAGGAGACTGAAAGTGTATAAAATTAACTGTGCAACTGCTCTACATATTAAAAAAAATGTTTTAAAATCAAACCAAAACAGGTTTCAGGGCATATAGTAAATCATGTATTTCACTGTAGGATAGAAACTTAAACTAGAGCCAAAGAATATGATTTACTGCAAGTATTTCCAGATTTCCCCACATCCTTCACTACACTGTGTGATGGTAGGATTTCATCTGGTAACTGTTCTCAAATTCTTACCTGAACTTTTTTTTTCCCTAGAATGATATTATCTTTCAAATTACACTCTAGAAGAATTCATCACTCTGACAATGTATCATTAATCAAAGTAAAGAGTATAGCATTTTGGAATGGATGGCACCTTGTAAAAGTTAAGGTCCAAGAGCAAAAGTTTCAGTTTGGTTAGAAAAATGATGTACTTTATGGTAGTGTCAGTGTTTCAGAACTGTAACTACCATCATCATCCAAATTGCTAGCTATTCAGCAATAAATATTAATGATCCTGTTGACATAGCCATACCTTCTTATGTGATCCAGAAGTTTCAGCTCAAAGAAGTTCACACATAGTTTACACCTATGTTACTTTGCAAGTTTGAAGAAAAGTGGGAATCTCTCCTATTATATTGCTAACTTTCACCTACTTTCTAGTTGTAAAATTTTAGGAAAGATTTACTGCAAACACAGTCTTGCATTAAAAACTGAAGATTCTAGAGTCTGCAGAAGAACTGTTATGTCATTTGACTTTTCTTGGCAAATAACTATAAAGATACATTCATACACACACACACACACACACACACACAGAGAGAGAGAGAGAGAGAGAGAGAGAAATTGTCACAGAATAACTTGAAAAACATTATAAACCTATTGGTGGCAGTGACTGTTGAATATGGTTGGGACTTTAATAGATGAAATCATTTGAAGAAGATCAAGTTACATATTAAATTTACCTATTAATAAGTAAAACTTAAAAAATAAGTACAACTTTAATATGTTATGTATAGGTGAAAATAAATTTAAAATTTAAAACTTGACTTTAAAAAATTAACTTGATTTAATTTTTTTTGTTTTTTTAAATAAATGTCAGCAGGATGCATTACAATTCTTGTTACACATATACAGCACAATTTTTCATATCTCTGGTTATCTATAAAATATGTTCACACCAATTCATGTCTTCATACATGTACTTTGGATAATGATGTCCATCACATTCCACCATCCTTGCTAACCCTCTGTCCCCTCCCTTGTCCTCCCACCCCTCTGCCCTATCTAGAGCTCGTCTATTCCTCCCATGCTCCCCGCCTCCCTACCCCACTATGAGTCAGTCATCTTATATCAGAGAAAACATTCGGCATTTGTTTTTTTTGGGGATTGGCTAACTTCACTTAGCATTATCTTCTCCAATGCCATCCATTTACCTGCAAGTGCCATGATTTTATTCTCTTTTATTGCTGAGTAATATTCCATTGTGTATATATGCCACATTTTTTATCCATTCTTGACTTAAATTTTTAAAAATTATGTACACATAATTCTTAAACAACAACAACAAAAAATAAAACATGACTTTTGAGAAAATCTTCCTTCTTGATGGGAATATTTTCCCAACCACAGTTTGTTCTGGTTTCTTTGATGGGCATTACTTCACACGCAAGTGGGGAATAGGGGGATGATGTCTACGAAACTCTGGAATACTTATTGGTTCTTAAGTTTTTCCTTTCCAGCAATTCATTAATTTGAGATAATCAGGAACAAGCTTTCTTACAATTAAACCAAAACCTTAGCAACATATGGAGACAGTTTTAAAAATATTAAAATGGAAAAGTCTACTCTTAATACAAGTTCTGATTGTTTTAATGGCTTCCATGAAGTTGAGATATCTAGCAAAGATAAGTGCAGATAAGAAATTGCAGACACCTCACCCCATTCAAAATAATGGATTAATAAAGGAGACTAAATCTTGATACATGTTTTCTTTTAAAATTTAGGTTGTTATAATCTGTTAGAAGGAAAATCCTACAGTATCTACCATCACAGAGAAGGAAGTCCTGAGGGTGTTTGCTAGTGTTTTAACT